TTCAATGTATACACATTTAAAGGATTTGTGGATTCAATCACTAAATCTCAGATTTGTGCACAGAAGCAAGAATTTTGAACTTTGAGTATCCCTTCGACCCGCAACATAAATGCTAAAATTCTAAAAATAATAATAGGGCTGGGCGTCCTTCCTGTATTATCTGATTATTCTTTGAGGTTTTTACTTAATGATGAGTTATGGTGATTTAAAAACTAAATTGCAAAAGTCAGGCTAAAAGCGAAGAATTTTACAAAACAACAATTTCGCATTAAATGTCGCAATCTGATTTTCAGTAGTCTGTTTAGTGAATATACCACTTTATCTAAGCATGAATTGCACCTTACACTCCTTACATTTCCAGCACTTCACCATAGTCTTAGATCCAAGGTTTGTTGTTTTTAACAGACTTCATTAAACAAACCTATTAAAAATGTCACGCAATATTAATGGTGACCAACAATTCTATCCCTTTCTTAAGCCTGTCAATGCAATATTGAAGCTGAGGCTCTACCTTTGACTCATACCGGTTGGAATATGAGGAAAAAAAATATAGACTAGAAAGTAAGGCTCTTGATTGGTGGAGCCTCTTTTTAATTATTAGCGCCTCTCCCCGATTGGTGCAGCCTCCCCTTAATTTTTAGCACCTCTCCCTAATTGGTGGAGCCTCCTCTTAATTTTTAGCGCCTCACCCTGATTGGTGGAGCCTCTTCCTTCTCTGGAAGTCATTCTGTCAAAATAGTTTTTTCTGTTTCTTTAATTTATTTTGCTTGTAGAGTATATTATTTCAATAAAAAAAATGGGACTCAGTTCCTGCTACACAGTGTTCCTTTTAGATGTATGCTCAACTCACTTGTAGTGATTAAAATAAGTGGCGATCACACTTTAAATAAAGAAACCTTGATTGTAATTGTTGGGAAGAACTGATTAACTTCCCAAATTTGCTCATTTTAAAATCAGTTTAAAGCAGGGGTCCTCAAACTCCAGCACCCCAGATGTTGCTGAACTACAACTCCCATGATTCTTTGAATCACACAGATAGCCAGAGAATCATGGGAGATGTAGTTCAGCAACATCTGGGGGGCCGGAGTTTGAGGACCCCTGGTTTAAAGCATACTTTTTGTTTATGGATGTAACTACCCTCAACCTTGCCTGACCTCACACCTGATTTTGCAGTTCTATCCCGCTGTTCCGACTTAGTATGTTCTCTGGTGTGAGACCTGCCCAATATTGGGAGGTATGTTGCTCTGAACAAGTCACATTATTTCACCACCATGACTCTGGCTGCACTTGATCTACCAGAGTGATGGTGGTGCAATTAAGTGATTAATTCACAGCAAAAGTTTAGTGTTAGACTAAAATAGCTGAGCTGGAAAAATAGATTAATTTGAGCGTTTTTCCATCTCTTATTTTGACTTATAATTTGAATTCCCTTATCAATTCTACACAATTCCTATGGGACAGGGATATTAGCTAATCTGTGAAATGCCGTGGATTCAAACTCAATTTCACATTTTAGCTGAAATAGTTTAAGTGGGAAAATTCTCAATGTTAGCGGTATTTTCACCTGTTATTTTGGTCTAAATTTTAAAATTTTGAATTAACTTTGAATTCTGAACTAATTTTACTTTAGCGAAAAACGTTGTTAGCAGGGGGACAACAAAAACGACTTTTTTTCTCTTACAAAATCTGTATATTTATTTACATGTATTGAAGGAACTTTGGATTCTTTATTCTGCAACACAATATTCCTGGAACGCAGTTTCGCTCATTGCTCTTGGACTTTATATTTCACAAGAAACCGCTCACAGACACTACAATAAATGGAAAAGAAGGATCCCCCTCCCTCCCCACCGAGTACAGGACACATTTAGAAGATTATTTTAGGGTGGGACGGTCTCTCATTTAGAACCAGTCTGGCTGAAAAGCACTTTAACACTGGCGATACTTTCCACCACATATATTCTGATTGATCTTAGGAGCTGCACACACTTATCAATGACATGTCTCTAATTCTCCCTTTTGTTCAGTCTCTTTTATAGGGCAACATCTGCTCTCTCTGAACCCAGTATGTAATTAGCAGATGACAGATGTTCCAGCATTCAACTAATTGGAGGTTCGTTAGTGAGAAGTTGTCCTTCGAGTACGCTGAAACCTGTCTGCCGCAGTAGCGGAAGGGTTATCTGCTGTCATTACAAGTGATGTCACAAAGGCGCCATCTTTCAGTATTCAACATGTCACTGGGTCCCAATGTTTTTTTGTCTTTTTTTTTTCTTAACGAAACCGACTTGTTATTTTTAGCCATTGGTAATGTGCAGATTGACAAACAGTTTCTGTTTTGCTTACTTCCTGTTTCTTAACTGCTCTGAACGGGTAAAACTGTTAGAGGGAGGCGGTTGAGCACACCCAAGCCGTTTTAACACTTTAATTACAGACAGTAGTCTTCTATTTGTCAAAAAAAAAAACAACAAAAAAAACCACCTCTGTTTAACTCCCCCCCCCCAATATAATGATTAAAAACACACACACACACACAACTGCTTCCAAAGTAGGCAGCATTAAGAAAGACATTTCCTATTTTGGGCCCAAATCCCACTGTCCCAATTTTCTCGGCTACGGTCCCTGTTTAGCTAGGAGGCCCCACATTGTTTTGGTGTGTAGAACTGCTTCACATAAATTAATGTATCCATATTCTCTATCTCAGAGTTTAAAATTAGTCTGTGCAAATAATTGTTGTGGACAAAAATATTAACCCAATCCATGTTAGTAAAATGCCTATTTACTCAACATAACTATAATCAACATTACTCAACTTTCTATGTGATTTCATAAAAAAAAACGCTAGGGAGTTTCCCCTTTAACATCAACTAACACCCTCATTAACAAGATGGCGCTGGAATCTGGGGGAGACCTCCAAGATACCAGTGACATCATACCCGGTAGGAAGAGTAATAAATGAACCACTTAACACCTAACCAATTATTGATGTATTATTCCATGTTATCTCTGACAATGCATACGATATAATTTTGCTAAATAAGGGACATGCCGTCCCCCCAGAATAAACATTCCTCAAGTTTTTCATTAACCCGAAACTTGTGTCTGGTGTGAATTACTTTAGGAGCGTGCACGCATTATTTCTTTAATTTGGCCGGGGGCAGATACGCAAGATAATCAATTTATTGATTGATTTCCACATCAATAATGAAATATGGTCTTGTTCTATTACTGAAAAGTCTTTTAGTCACAACTCCTAAAATTGAAAATGACCCTCTTTGACCGCATATCTGGGTCTGCAAAGGTCAGCACCTTATTTTAAAAACTGTGCTGGAGTCCCATCAACCAGTGTTTACTTTTCAAAATATTTACATTATTTAAAAAATTTGTCTAGCACTTTGGATGTACTTTGAATTCCTGACAATACATATTTTAGACAATAACCAGATTGTGTCCTGCCCACCTCTCTAACTTGTTTTGCCTCGTTACCATCTCCCATTAATTTTTGTTCCTGCCCAGTTAATTAAAATGTAAAAACACATGCACCCACACTGCATTCTTGTTCCAAGTTTCTTAGGTGAGTACTTAGATAACCTACCACTATTTCTGTGCCCACAATTGTTACTATTACCAACATGTATAAAGTGCTGACATATTCTGTAGCGGTGTACAATTGAGGAAAAAGAAAGAACAATAAACACAGACCAAAACAAAAGGTAAAAGGGCCCTGGATCAAGCCATTGAAACTATTTAATACAAAGTACTTGCTAGTTAGCCTGTGAGCTTACAATCTAAAGGACTACTTAGAAAACAAAAATAAAGATAAGATGGTGTCACATGTGCAGGTTACCAAAACTGAAATTTCCCCTACCACAAAACTTAAAATACATGTTAAATAATTGTAAATAGATTTTTTTTTTTTTTTTGTCAATGACGAAGTGAATGACACAGCAACACACACGCCAGACCTTCCTTACCTACATTAAGACCCACTAGTAAGATTATTTGCTAAAAGTGAGAATTTAGGGTGAATTAAAAATCACCTTAAATTCTCACTGAACAACACTGTAAATCCTGAATAGTTGGACAAATCTCAGGGAGTGCCTCTAGAGCCAGAAATAAGCTCCACTCAATCCAGTTATTCGCGTTTAAGACATTTATCTCAAATTATTATTCTATTAAACTAGTTTTTAATACATTCAGCGGCACACTTCTAAAATGAGCTTAGTAGGAAAAAGAACCCTGAGAGTGGTAGATTGTATTCAGTGCTTGGAAAAAAAACAAACAAGTCTTTTCTTTAGAATTCTGAATAGCCTGGTGAGCTGCAGGGAAGGATTAACTTGCCTGGAGGCAGCACCACATTAAACACCTGTAAGTGGTGTCAGGGCTAAAAAGACTCACAGATGAAAGGAGATCAAAGAGGAATTAATATATGCAGTCACTCAAGATATTTCACACAACCACTATAGGGGGTGCAGAAAAGTAAGTATAGGGGGTGCCATGTTCAGTTAGCACAATGACAAAGAGTATGTTTTTTGTTTTGCAGAAAAAACTGATAACAGAAAAGACTAGGTTCCAGGCAGAAAGTAGAATGAGGCAAATTGATACAGTGAAGACATGAAACACTTAGAGGGGTCCAGGTGCAGTGAATTCTCAATGTATGCAGCTGAGACAGGAGGTTATATGAAAGTATAGACAGCAAAGGCAACCAGTAGATCTGGTAGGCAGCTCAAAGCAACTGAGGAATACAAGATCAAAGTCTACATAGCACATGGGACAGGGGAGGGGTGAGCATTCAGGGAAAGGGTGGAGAGAATGCTAAAAGCAGAGGTAAGGCACTTAAATGAGAGGGAGGGGAGACATGACAAGTGGGAGGGAGATTCAGATAGAGTCATTAGGGAGAGTGGAGGGGGAGAGATGAAAAGACTTATTAATGCAGGAGACAGATGACAAAGAGCAGAAGGAGGCGGTGAGAGGGAGGGGAGAGATAAGAAGTGGGCTGAGAGAGGGAGGGGAGACAGGAGATGGGGAAGGTTTGTTGCAAAACAGCTTCTCTGGAAGTGATGACACCAACAGAAAACCTTCCAATAACTTCCTATGAGAGGAGGACAACACAGGAGTTACTGCACAGGGTTAATCACATGGTGAGTGGGACACACAGGGTTAATCACATGGTAAGGGGGGGACACAGGGTTAATCACATGGTAAGGGGGCACACACAGGGTTAATAACATGGTAAGAGAAATAGCACACGGTTATTATATACATAGGAAGTGGTATACACAGGGTTAATCACATGGTAAGGGGACATACACAGGGTTAAACACATGGTAAGGGGGGACACAGGGTTAATCACATGGTAAGAGAAATAGCACACGGTTATTATATACATAGGAAGGGGTATACACAGGGTTAATCACATGGTAAGGGGGCACACACAGGGTTAATCACATGGTAAGGGGGCACACACAGGGTTAATCACATGGTAAGAGAAATAGCACACGGTTATTATATACATAGGAAGGGGTATACACAGGGTTAATCACATGGTAAGGGGACACACACAGGGTTAATCACATGGTAAGGGGACACACACAGGGTTAATCACATGGTAAGGGGACACACACAGGGTTAATCACATGGTAAGGGGGCACACACAGGGTTAATCACATGGTAAGGGGGCACACACAGGGTTAATCACATGTAAGAGAAATAGCACACGGTTATTATATACATAGGAAGGGGGACACAGGGTTAATCACATGGTGAGGGGGCACACAGGGTTAATCACATGGTAAGAGAAATAGCACACGTTATTATATACATAGGGTTAGTCACATAGGAAGGGGGGACACAAGGATATTATATACATGGGGAGGGGGGACACAAGGATATTATATACATGGGAAGGGGGGACACAAGGATATTATATACATGGGAAGGGGGGGACACAAGGATATTATATACATGGGAAGGGGGGGACACAAGGATATTATATACATGGGAAGGGGGGGACACAAGGTAATTATATACATGGGACGGGGGGACACAAGGATATTATATACATGGGAAGGGGGGGACACAAGGATATTATATACATGGGAAGGGGGGGACACAAGGATATTATATACATGGGAAGGGGGGGACACAAGGTAATTATATACATGGGACGGGGGGACACAAGGATATTATATACATGGGACGAGAGACAGCACAGAATTATTTTGCACATGGAAAGAGGGGGTCAGCGCTAGGTTATTATAGATCCATTGTACAGCGCTGCGGAATTTGTTAGCGCTATATAAATAATGTATGGCAGGGGGAACACAGGGTTATAATATACATGGTAAGGGGATATTATTAATACATATATTATAAGGAAGGGAGTTCCATCCTGTGAGGGAAGCACAAAGTTACCCCCCAAAGAGGCAGTGAAGGCTCACACACCGGGGCAGCAGGACAGCAAAATAGTGACCAGGGTGAGACATGTATGAACATTAATAAGAGGAAGGCAAGGGAGAAACATGGGGTGAGGAGGTCATAAATGCACGGGGAGGGGAGGCTGTGCAGGGTTACACACAGTGAGGGGATGGGGAGGCTGTGCAGGGTTACACACAGTGAGGGGGAGGCTGTGCTGGGTTACACACAGTGAGGGGATGGGGGAGGCTGTGCAGGGTTACACACAGTGAGGGTGCAGGGTTACACACACAGTGAGGCTGTGCTGGAGTTACACACAGTGAGGGAGGCTGTGGGACACACACACAGTGAGGAGGCTGTGGGGCCTGATGAGGGATGGGGGAGGCTGTGCTGGGTTAAACACAGTGAGGGGTGAGAGCTGTGCTGGGTACACAGTGAGGATGGGAGGCTGTGCTGGGTTACACAGTGAGGGACCAGGGAGGCTGTGCTGGGTTACACACGTGGGGATGGGGGAGGCTGTGCAGTACACAGTGAGGATGGGGAGGCATGCGGTACACAGAGTGAGGGAGGCTGTGCAGGGTTACACACAGTGAGGAGGCTGTGCTGGGTTACACACAGTGAGGATGGGGGCTGTGCTGGGGTTACACAGCCAGGGAGGCTGTGCTGGGTTACACACACAGTGAAAGGGGGGAGGCTGTGGTTACACAGTGAGGGATGGGGAGGCTGTGGCAGTTACACACAGAGTGGGGAGAGCTGTGCTGGTTACACAGTGAGGATGGGAGGCTGGGTTACACACACACAGTGAGGGAGGCTGTGCTGGGTTACACACACAGTGAGGGGGAGGCTGTGTTGGGTTACACACAGTGAGGGGAGGCTGTGTTGGGTTACACTGAGTGAGGGGGAGGCATTAGCTGGGTTACACACAGTGAGGCTGTGGGAACACACAGTGAGGGAGGCTGTGCTGGGTTACACACAGTGAGGGATGGGGAGGATCTGTGCAGGGGTTACACAGTGAGAGGCTGTGCAGGGTTACACAGTGAGAGGAGATGCTGGGTTACACACAGTGAGGGGGAGGATGTGCTGGGTTACACACAGTGAGGGGAGAGCTGCTGCATGGTTACACAGTGAGGGGCTGTGCAGGGTTACACACAGTGAGGGATGGGGGAGGCTGTGCTGGGTTACCCACACTGAGGGGATGGGGGAGGCTGTGCAGGGTTACACACAGTGAGGGGGGGAGGCTGTGCAGGGTTACACACAGTGAGGGGGGAGGCTGTTTAAGGTTGCACACTAGGGAGGGAGGCTGTGCAGGGTTGCACACAATAAGGCTGTTCAGTGTAACATGCACAGGGTTGTTGCACAGTCATGCTGAGGGAGATACATTACAGTTACAGTAGTATGCAGGACACACTTCTAGGGAGGAATTGCACACAGTGAGAAACATGGGGAGGTGTAATAGTATCGCTCACAAGGTGGTGCACAATCCCCCAGTGTGTACATATTATATTACATATTCTATGTACACACCAAGGGGCAGATTGCGGATTATAGTACATAAAGGGGATACAGACTGGGGAAAGCTGTGATACAATAAACACTGTGTTCACTGTACAGAATATACATCTATGTTATAGTACATTGTCTGTATTCATACAGAGAATACACAAAAGGAAGCTTTATAATCATAATCGGGACTTCTTTATTTATAGGTGTAATAAGCAGATAAGGGCGATACTCGGGAAATCAGAAAATTTATGTCCTCCAGGGGTGGTGTACCCCTAGGTCCTGGGAGTTCAATGAACATGATGCGGGGTCAAAGCCCAGGAGTTTACAGAGTGCCCCCAGGGCCCTATCAGGTATTTATAATATTATATATATTGTAATATTACATGTTATAACCAGCTCAACTGCTACGCCATCTTTATTCATCTGACAATTTCCATCATTCGTATCTACAGTCTCTACTTTTTCTAAACCATGGACTCGAATATGGCTTAGAACCTGCCATGTTATGTTTTTTCTTTCCCCCTCCCAATATCCAATGTACATGCACAGTGTTATGGTTTTAATTAGTGTAACAATATCACCATTGCCTTGCGACTAATCAGGGCATCGTCTTATGCTATAATAACCCTTCAAGATGGGCAGACTGATCATATAGCTTTCTGTTTCACTGGTCCTGATGCGGCTGTAGGTTCGACATGGCCTAATTTTTTTTACATTCAGCTAATTATAACGTGAAGCAGCTAGTTAATTACCTCCAATACGTCTGAGGTTTTGCAGGCTGAAAAATCGGTTCACTTAGTGTTAATTTAATTCCTCAACTGATTAACCAATTACTTCAATCATTATAAAAAAAAAGTATCTTAACTGCATCTATCCATAACAAACTTTCTTATTTATTGGTTATTGATTACAGTTCTTTAATGGATCAATAACTGGCTGATTTAAAATCAATAAAAACTGAGTAATTGTTCCTGCTGATTTTCATTGCCAACTCATATTTATCATCCAATTATCGTTAATAGTTTGTTACTAATTGTCAGGTCATATTGACAATTTTTTTTTTTTTTTTTCTTCTCCAATCTAGTCTAATCATGATACAAACCAAGATGGAATCATAAATCCTTTCCATTAGTATTTGTGCGCACTAGCATGAAACCTCATGGCTTGGATCAATTAAAACAATTTATAAAGGTTATAAATATGTCATCTTAATAAATTGTTTTAAATGTATGCACCCAAGGATATTTTGTGCTGATATTCGTTCATGTTTTATGTGAGTGATGACTGCCTTCAAAATGCTCCAAACTAAGACCAGTCTGAATAGTACTCACTGGATGATTTCACATTTGCCTGAATATTTTGGAAACATTTGGACTGTTATTGCTGGTTTTAAAGTTGTAAAATGCTTACAGGAAAATTTTAAGGGTAAAATGTAATGTTCTCATTCTTGAAATGGAACTGCTTTGTGGAAATTGGACTGAGATAAACCAAGAAGTCTGAATGTTGCTCGTAGAAGTTTAGCAACCCCAACTCCCATGTTTTGGATTGCAGACTATTCTCACTTTATAATCAATGTAGGTCCATTATACAGATGATATGGAAAAAGTATACAGTATGAGGTCAGTTCCGATAGCACGGGATTGTGAGTGATGCAGTCTGTGGTTATTTCTGATAGCATGGGATTGTAAGTGATCAGTCTTAGGTCTGGGATTGTAAGTGATGCAGTCTAAGGTCTGTTCAGGCAGCACAAGATTGGAAGTGATGCAGTCTCAGGTCAGTTCAGGCAGCTCGGGATTGGAAGAGATACAGTATGAGGTCAGTTCAGGCAGCACAAGCTCTGATTTCACATGACCTGGATTTGAGTAGTAAATCACACATTGAGGCATGTTGCAGTACCAGGATCCTGTCTCATTTCTGCAAATGCAAGCGACCAAATTCTACTTTTATGCAAATATGCAGTCGTGGGGGGATGTGGATGTGAGACTCTTTAGCCTTTGATCTTTACAGTTAGTGGAGCGAGCAGGAAAATAGTACTGTAGTGTGTTTTTTATTTATTTTTTTTCTCAATTAGAAGCTGTATTCTCTATTGTATAATGCTGTTAGACTACTTATAGGAGGGGGCAGTGAAGATGTCTATCGGTAGGCATCTTTGCTGCACACCCCTCTGTTGGTTAGGTATCACACTGAAGCGGGGTCAGATTATAGCGTGTGCTTATATCTGGTTATTCTTTCCTCCCGAAAAGGTATCAGCAGCATGCTATTATGGTTAGAGAGGCCGGGACATAACCTAAAAAGGTTGAGATATGTCACCTCTGTTAGTGGGAGGGTGCAGTGAGTTTTCCTTTGGGTGCAAGCCCCCAGGTGTTTTGGAATCTAGCAACACAGCTGCTTATATGGGCAAAGGGGTCTTATTATGTTGGCAGCAGATGGGGATAGGTGTTCAGTGTCTTTTATTTATTTATTTATTTATTTTAATCAAACCACTTAAATATGGTATAACAAGAAAACATAGCCCCATACCTGTAACAGCGGTGGTTTTGGTGCTTGGATTGTCTCTTTAACGTGAGTTAAAGCAGTTAATTTGTGACACATTTCTCCTTTGGACTAGGTCTGGGAACTTTTAGTGTAAGTGTAACTTCTAAACCAAATGTGCCAGTTTGAAAAAATAAAATAGCTGATCTTAAGAAATGTCCTGTTTCATTTATTACCTAAAATTTGCAACTCACCCTGGATGATTCAGGACAATGTCTGGTTTAGTGAATAAACAAGGTAGTGTCCGATTTTAAAGGGACACTTCACTGTGGATGTAATTTTATAAATTGAATGCATCATTTAACAAATAAGATACATGGTTGTATTGGAGTGAGGATCATACTGATGTACTATTCTTGATATATTTGGGGTTATGTGTAAAAATTCACACATTCATGACCGTTTTGTGTGAATGCATAATTTCAGGTTTTTGTGTTTTTGTTTTTTTGTTTGTTTGTTTTTTTTTTTTTAAGACTGCTTTTAGTTTCAAACTTCTCTCAATATCGGAGGCATCAAGCTTGACGTGTCCTGTGTTTGGATATGGTATGGGGTGCCATCCCGCCACAACTCCTGGTCAAGTACCTGTCTGTAAATTTAAACATTGATTTGATTTTAGATTGAGTTGCTCTGTCTAGGAAATTAAAATAGGGTGGCCAAGTGAGGAAGAATTTTTACGTTCCTCCTTTTTATTTTTTATTTTTATTTTTATTTTTATTAACAAGGTTTCTAACCAATCTGTAGGAAGGAGATTTTCATATGTAATAGTGATAGTAAGGGGGGAGGGGCAGATCCTGTCGCGTGATATATTTTTACGTACTGTAGCAAGGACCACCTGTGCTAGTTTTTGGACGTGACGTGGTCCCCTCTATTGTTCTCTCCAATGTTGCCAACAATGGAGAGTGTGACAGAATACCCAGTCACTTATTAAGCTTTTCATTTTGGTTATAACCATGGTTGTTCAGTTATTGTTCAGACCTGTTTCCCCCTTTTTATAACTCCCGAACCCAGACCACCCCCTGGATCATTAACTTCAAAGAACCCATTAACTTAAGTGGTCTTCTGGGTGGCCAATTTGTCTCACGAATGCAGGCAGTGGTACTTGGACGTTGAATGCATGGAATTGAAATCGGACACGCTACCTCACGAACACCGATGAATTTGTACTACCACCTGCTTCCCTCCCAAATAAGCCAGTAGAGCGCTTCTCGGGAAAACTACTCACACAAACAAGAGGAGCATTCGCTCCCTAGAGCCAGGGGGAGCATTTGGTTTTATGCGCACAGGAACTCCCGAAAGTTTAAAAACTTTACCCGGTGGCGATTCCATTCCACCAAACAGATTTGGGTACTATTTGGATATGGATTATTCGGGGAAATGAGACGTGGGGTTCCTGTGGATATGGAGTGTGGTTTGGGGGTATTTTCTCTGGGGTTCCCTGTAACTGAGAGATAATGAGTCACCGGTCTTTGACTCAGTTATCTCCCAGACACAGAGATGCCTGGGAGGGGTTTGTATTTCTTTGCATGGAGACCTCATGCAGGGGGTCTGTGTATAAATTGAGTGTGCCTTGCACTGAAAAAACAAGTCTATTCCCAGCATTAAAGGACCACTATAGTGCCCTCAGGGTCCCCCTCCCGCTGGGCTCTGGGGAGAGGAACGGGGTTATACATACCTTTTTTTTTTTTTTCCAGCGCCGGGCGGGGAGCTCTCCTCCTCCTCTCCGCCTCCGATCCTCCTCTTCGGCTGAATGCGCAGGAGCTGCGTGCGCATTCAGCCAGTCTCATAGAAAAACATTCATAATGCTTTCCTATGGACGCTTGCATCTTCTCACTATGATTTTCACAGTGAGAAGCACGCAAACGCCTCTAGTGGCTGACAATGAGACAGCCACTAGAGGCTTTAGAGGCTGGATTAACCCATTTAGAAACATAGCAGTTTCTCTGAAACTGATATGTTTATATAAAAATAAAAAAAAAGTTAATCCTAGAGGGACCTGGCACCGAGACCACTTCATTAAGCTAAGTCTTGGCTAATGTCTGGGGTGGGGGGAGAAGCTATATCACTCTATCCTGCTATAATCACTGAAGATGGCACTGACTGAGATCCTGGGAAGGGTAAAGGACATTCTTGGTGGCGAGACTCATGTCCCTACCAGAGTGCCACCACAGGGAGATTTTAAAAGAAGTTCATATTAATTATGTTGTATAACTTTCAACTTGCTTCCGGAATGTTTCAATCCCCACATTTTAAACAGTTGGCTGAATCCCAGAGATTTTATGATATATATTTTTTTAAATTATATGCGTTTTTAGTTAAATGCGTGGTGTGCGATCTTCAGATGAATTTCCTGGTAGGAAGCTGTTGGGAGTAGTTTAAGCAGCTTGGTGGTCGTTGTAATGAGTACTTAATGCGTTAATGTTGGAAAGTGTGTTATCTCACTTTGATGAACCTGTTTTGTATGGTCATGTAGTCTAGGTTAGGTATGATTTAGGAGTAAAGTGGGCTAATTGAGTAGGGTGAAGTGGTTGATTGTGTAAGTGGATAATCTTTAGAATGGTTCCAGTCTTCCGAGCTGAGATGTGAAAGAATCGTACCTATTAGGATGTGTCTGTAAATATGCAAAAAGTGGGATATTAAGGTCAGAAAATGTTTGATTTTGCTGGAGCATAAGGATCAACTTTTGTTTTTTGCTTTTGTCTAGAAAATTCTATATTTTGGTATGGCCTGCAGTTTCCCAGGAGTGGTAAGGGTATTGGGCTTCCCCATTTTGAAAACACGAGTTACGTAGAAAGCGGATAAATCTTGCGTATTGCCATGGAAACCCCAGGAGCTGTCTCCACAATTTCCATGTTTTAATAGTGAATGCCAATCAAGGGTTTTCCCATGCTCCCTCTTGGAGGGAGACATACGGGATGTGTGGTAGTTGCGAGTTGTACTACTGTAAATTGTCCTGATCTTTTTATCCAGTCTAGGGTGTGGCGTGAGTGTACAATTTTACATTTATAATATTTTAAACCCAGATTAAATCTGGTTTGAGATCGTTTGTCCACTGCTAGTCTTGGACATTTTGCTTCCAAAGAAATGTGAAAAAGATTTGATTGCGAGTTTTCTCATCTGGTCGCGAGAGTAGTATTGGTAAGGCGTTTACCTTTTGTCAAAAGGGGTGTCATATTGATTTTGTATATAATGGACATTTGAGGGGGAATTTTAAAATGTGAGGTTGTTCATGTTTGGGGAGTTGGTGCCAGTAATCGTATTGGTGGGCCTGGGTCCAGTCTCTTGGCTGTCAATTTTATACCAACTAATTTATTAGCCTGTTATCGGACCATACCTTTCAAAAAGGGCAATCGTATTCAATAGGGATTTTTCAGGATTTGAGAGATAAAGTACAAATTCATCCACAAAGCCTGTGGATTTAATGGTGTGGGGTCGCAGTTGTATTCCGTTTATATCCCCAGAGGGATAGATAAACCCTATAATTGGATCTAGAGCTATCAAAGAATAGGTGATAATGGGCAAGCTTGTATTTCTCCTTTCATGATTGGCATGATGCTACCAGATGTATTCTTCAACCGTAGGTGCCTTCAGAATTACTTTAATTATTGTCACATTTTTTTTTCTCGTCTCTAAGTTGCAGACTCCAATTTATCAGCTGCCTCATGTATACAGCTACTGATCACAAAACGTTGATTAAAACATTGATTTTTCTAGTTCTTACACCGTGTTAAGCAATTCATTGCTCTCCATTTATGGCCAAACATATATATTTTTTTAAATTTATTTTTTAAACATTCGTATTGGGCCTGTGTTATTACGTTTAATTACCTACTTGTACATTCCATCCTTCGTTTAAACTGTTACTGATTCAAAACCTTTTTATTTCCATCATTGCTTTTTAATTGGGATTCTTAATTGCTGATTAACTGTAGAATTGCTTAATATTCATTATAATTGATGCTTATTGACCCTTCTCAAAGGCCTTTTAATTTCTCTAGCCTCTAACCAAAGGCAGATTCAAGGACCTTTTTTAAAGGGATGCTCAAGGCACCATTACAACTACAGTTTGTGATCTGTTTAGTACTAGGACTCTTTGGGGCTTATTCAGTAAACTATTTGTAATTCCCCCCCCCGCCCCCACCACCAATCATCAGTTTCAACCCACATTTACACACCCAAAGCTCTGTGCCTTACCGGAGATTAGCATTAACACCTTAAGGACCAAACTTCTGGAATAAAAGGGAATCATGACTAGAGATGTCGCGAACGGCTCGCCACGGTTCGCCACGAACCGTTCGCGGCGAGCTCCGGTCAGCTGACACATCCCGGCCAATCTCCAGCAGACCCTCCCACCTCCTGGACAGCATCCATGTTGAAGGCAGCTTCAACATGGATGCTGTCCAGGAGGTGGGAGGGTCTGGGAATTTACTTTCAGAGCCCCCAGTGCTTCTCTATGAAACATTTGCTTGAACCCGAGATTATCCGGATTGATAATCTCAGAAGAGGCAGAGCAAATGCCCCGAGTTTTAGGTAAATTTCATTGTGGGTTTTGTATTGTTGTTGTCTTTGTTTGGTGGTTTGTTTTTTTTTACTTTTTATTTTATTTTATTTTATTTATTTATTTGTGTGTGTGCATTTGAACCATGTTGGTCAAGAATGTGTAATTGCTGTGATTGTTACCCAGAATGCCAAGTGGCAGTAGCGAAAGGATTAATTTCAATGGAACTCCGTTAAACAGTCATTCATCCTCATCATTTTACTGCTATGTCTGGACTTGTTTGAACCTCAGTTGATCGAGAGGCTTTACCACACAGGAAATTGAATCAGTTTTTAAAATGTCTCTTTTATCTTGCTTTTTCTGTCTTAAAGGAACATTGCTTGTTTGCTACAGTTGCAATTGTCAAATGTTCCTTGCTGCAACAGCATTTGAACGCTGCATACAACATGACATGATATGTGTATAGGAAAACCATGTGGTCCAGGCAAACCCAGAAATACACAGATCATCTGTTTTGGTAATCATCTTACGTGCGTGTGATTGAAATGCAGACTACCCGAAAAATATTGGGTGTAGATGATTTTGTCTCTTTAATTCAACATGGTTAATCACTAAAAATGTGAATTGTGTAGATTTACATTTTTGGGTCCAAAGATAAAATTTTTAAAAATACTCCAGGACAGATGCTTTATAAATTCAAAAATACCTGTTAAGTCGCCACCCCAAATTGTGGTCAACGTTCAAAAGCACAACCTTTCCTTATGTTCGGCTTCTCCGGGTCTCTTAACAAAAAGGAAATAGAAGATAAAATATATAAACAGGATTCTGGTTGAATATGTAGTACAGGGAGGGGTAGGCAATGTTTGGTACGATGTTCTTGACTACATCTCCCTTGTTCATTGATAACATTATGGGAGATGCAGTCTGTAACTTCTGGCGTGCTGAAGGTTGCCTACCTCTGGTGTAGTGTTTAACTAGAAACATATTGTAGATAAGGTTCAAACAAGATGAGAAATAAAAGGCACATCAACAAATTCTTCATAGACTTGTACTGTAGGTAACAAAAATAAAAGATATTTATTCAAAGAATCACTTTCACAAGCATATGTTTAAAAAAAAAAAAAAAAAATAGCTTCCCATTTGCTACCTTTTCTGTGAACAGTATACAAATGGAAAGTCCTGGTCCATTTAGTTACAAACAAACAAACAGCGCAAAAAAATGACAAAACCTCTAAATACAAAAATGTGCTATATGATTTTGTCCATTTGCATTGATTTCCTTAATGACAGGTGAAGCATATAGATAGGAGGACTATATCTATCTACATATCCTTTCGACAAAAAAAGTATTCTTCAAACCTCCACCCTTGTCAAGAGTTCCATGTGATTTCACTTTTTTAATTTTAAATTCACTTTTTTTGCATTTCTAATAAATCTCACCCTATGTTTGGGCATGTTCGATGTTACTTTTTAAAGGGGAGCATCCGCGGAAAATGTCTCCATCCCCTTGTTTTTTATCATAAGTTCCAAGGCAAGTCTATTTTTCTTATTATTTTTACATATTTGCCATGCTTAATTTATGTAAAACTGTAACCGTCTGTCATGGGCTGGTGGGGTTTGTAGTTTTACTTTCCGCCACAGTTCTTCTTGGGACATGGGGTGACTTTAGTTCAGTAAGCTAATAGCAAACACACTGTTTGTTTTTGTAAACTGGGCTGTGTGATGTCATCTGTCAAAGCAAACTGCTGTAGCTATTAGCTAACCTGGACAAAGAGACGGGTGGCAGAGTACTCTCTATTCTGTAACCTATGTAGTGATGCAAAGTTGTTATGATGTTTAAGCAACCTGTGCATGGAATATTTATTAAGGATACCATTTGTGAACTTCCTGTTACGTGATGGGTTTGAATTGGGGTTTGCAGATCTACTATATATTCCTGGACACACACATACCTTCTATGTTAGCGTTTTTATTTTTTTGTGTACAATGCGTAGGAATGCAAATCGATGAATGAAGAAGGGCACCGAAGGGATTTGATTAAAGAACCAATTCCTTCCTGCTACTTTTTATAAGCTGCCCTTCAACTTGAAGAATTAATTTTACATCCGGAAAGGCATTGTGGATCTTTGTGATCGTAGCTAGGACATTTGATGGTTTGCCAACCCAGCTCTGGCTGACATACGTGTTTTGTAGAAGATATTTCTACAACAGGCAACTTATTCTGGCAATCCTTTTCTATTCCTCTCTAGTGGCAATGACTCAAGCTGTTGTCTTCATCCAATGTATTTTCTCTCTCATCATTATTTATTTGCTTTTCTCACTATATACATAAATTGTTCACCAATTCTCCTCGTTCTTAGTCTATTTACAGCGCCAGATATGTTCAGTAAGGAACTTTCTTTGGACAGAAACAATTAAAGGGTAGGTTTTAAGAGCCTTGTCTTAAATTCACAATCTAAGGGGATGGGGAAGCAGGCTCAGAATTACTAAACGCTCATGCTCTGTTTAGGTGTCTGGTCAAGCTCTGGGGCCAATTTTCAGGTCAAGTAATGCTAGGGGGCCTGATTGGGCAGATAGAGATCAGACTGCATTTAATAGCGCCCAAGCCCCTAAAAAGAACAAAACAGCTTGTCCATGGCTGCTTACTTGCGAAGCTGCACTGGGTTTGGGAGGATGTGCTTACAAGGCACTTCCGGTCGGTTTCCTGACTCCACTCCAAAAGTCGGAGAGCTGGAAGTTCCTAAGCAGGATCATCTATTGGCACTCTTGAACTAAAGCCTGGAGTGAAATAAACTAACAGAAGTTCCTGCTCTCTGACATTAGTGTTGTGTCGTGGAGCCTTGACCAGCAGACCCAAGGTCAGAAGTCAAACCGTCAAAAAAAGAAATTCTAAACTACTTTCAGTGGGACGGGGGACGTGCCAGGACACTTGTGGCACCATCACTGCAGGGAGTTGTAATGTGCTTGGAGTGTTCCGTTATTCCAAGTGAATCTTAATTTTTAGGCATACTGAAAACAGCTGACGTGGAGTATATAAATTTTTATTTTTATTTATTTTATTTTTTTTTTTTCATTTTGGCCTAAATTTTGTAACTTCTTTTGAAGACACAACAATTTACCCATGAGCGATTTAACCATGAAATTGTTTTTACAGAAGTGGAGCAGGGAGAGGATGATCTGATAAAAGTGAAGTTTCCTAGGTTCTGAGAAGGGCAGAGGGAGTAGATTTGTTCACATTGTATTTTGATGGAATGAGATACCAGTAAATGCTATGCTTAAAGGAACACTTAAGGCACACAAAGCACTTGCTAGAGCGCGCCTGCCTTCCCCCCCCTCCCCTTCTCAATTTGCTGTACTACTAATGGAGTGCAGCCCCATTGCAGAGGCTTCTCGATGGGAAGCCTCTGGTGCTTCCCCAGGTACAGACGAGGGGGGGCAGGTAAGCAGTGTTTGGAAGCTGTTTTTTCATAAGCCCCCAAAGTAAACATGCAGAAAATAATATCTGTATGTTTTCTTTGGCAGTAGAACTACTAGATTGGTAAAAATAATTACAAAATAAATCAATGGAGTGATGTTGGTGAGATAACTGCATGCTGGGTGTCCGGAAGGCCTACAATATCATACTCACTCTAGTCAAATTGGGAAATGAAGAGGAAGTGAATTTGAGTTTTGAGGTTCCCTTCTCTTCCTTCTATTCAGGAGATGAGCCTACAACTATTTATTCTCTCGACCTTTTAGGCAGGCAGTCCATCTGACTCAGAGTATAGACTGAGAATGATAGGAGTTGTAGTTTAGTCACAGCTGATATATATGAGTTGCATTTAATAACAAAGTATTCTCGACATACTCTAACTCCTTAATCTGCTACTGAACCTTCCAAGTCGAACATCTGACATTAATTGCTTCCTGTCATTTTGGGGCCCAGTTTTTATTGACCCCCCCCCCCCTTTATTGATTGACGTTGTTCAGGGTATTGTAATACATGCGCATTGCTATCTGACACTGAGAAGGTTAAACCTTCTTATCTTTTATTTCTTTCTCATTCCGTCTTTCTTCCGTTCTCACTGGTTTTCTCCTTCGCTTTTTTTTTTTTTTTGTCTGTTTATCATTAACGTTGCCAAACCACATTTTGAAGCTTTGCCTGCAACCGTCATTTTAAAGTGTCCGCTGCACGCTATAGCAAACCAAGCCAAAGTTTATTAGATGTTTTATATTCTGAATACAGAATATGTGTGTTCACTTTGTACTGCCCTTCTCCACCCCTCCCCACAGCTTTGAAGCTCGCTGTTTAGTGAAAAAATAACTTGCGAACCGAAATGCAAAAATACATTTGGACAAAAAAGCCAGCTTAGCCGAGTTGCAGATATTGTTCTTTTGTTCCAACCTCTTTTTTTGGCCTTAATTCTTGGACATTTTAAGCGTGTGAATTCACTAACCTCTCAATTGTAGTCAGTTGAAAACCAAATTGAACATTTCATGTTAAAACAGCGTATTTATCATTTTTATTTTATTTATTGCAAATCACTCCAACATGGAGTTTAGTAAATAGCCCTGTCACTGTTTTTTAGCAGATATCCCTTTTGCCAATCATTGATTATGGGGATGTAGTATCTGCATCGTAATCCCACATTAATAAACTCAACACATTGTATAACTTGTTCTGCCGATTTGTGCTACAAAGTAATTCCAGGACCCACCATTGTGACATGCTAAAAGAACTAAACTGGCTGTCGCTGGAATCCAGACGCACCCTTCATCTTTCCAGCCTTGTGTTTAAGAGCTTTTCTGGGGAAACTCCCACCCTACCTGAACACAATGCTTTCCTCAGCTGTTCCCACTTCCTACAACCTACGATCCAGTACAAGCACTTTACTTAGTCTACCTCAATACAAGAAGAAAGCGGCCCGATCCTCCTTCTCCTACCGAGCGCCGCAATTGTGGAACGACCTCCCGCACACTTTAAAATCTTCCCTAAGACTAAAGTCATTTAAGAGATCCCTCTCTACATACCTCAAAACAGAATGCACCTGTCATGGTTGATTATATATTTCCTGCCTGTTTTATGTTAAATATTGTATTTATTGTGTATTAATATTGTTTTTGTATTTTATTGTACCCTAATTGTAACAATGCAATGATTTGTGGACCCAGGACATACTTGAAACCGAGAGAAATCACAATGTATCTTTCCTGGTAAAATATTTTATAAATAAATAATGTCTTATCTACTTAGACAACCTCACATGACTATCTTATGACACAGAAATTGCCTTTAGGGACCGAAAAAGAGAAGAGAGGTAATAGTACTGCTGTGGACTCTGATTGCTCTGCCTGGGAATACTGGGATTTGAAATAGCTGGAGGGTTAGAAGTCTCTTTTTGGGATACCACATGGGGATAATAAAATAATGCATGCTTGTCTGCCAAGTTGGATGTTACTTGACTCATGTAAGTGCTGTTTCAGTTTAGCATAACAGACATCTCCCAGCATGCAATAATCTGACGCCTACAGGAGGAATCCGGTCATTCCAGCTAGGTGAGGCAGGTAAACAGTGCACCTGTGGAGGAGGGGTAGGGGTGTGGAAAGTAAAAAGAAAAGGGGAGGTGTGGGTTGGTGAGACAAGGCGAGACGTAAGTGAGGCGATGTCGTGGGTAAGAGTGGAGGCAGGGATTGGCTCTAGGGTTTTTAAGGAGATATACTATAAAGACTTAATGTTTGCGACAATTTGTCTGGCTTTGGACAGCAGACTTTTTGTAATCTAAATACAGTTCAGAGAGAGCTGCCAGTCCTTTTTGTATTTTTTTATTTTTATTTTTTTTTAAATGCTTATTCAGTCAAAATATATAGTAGGGCTGACAGGCTCTGATTAATATCACATTTTGGGCCAAGTCAAATCTTGGTTGAAATAGGGAAGAAAATACACGCATTAAATAAGTACTCTAATTGGCTGAAAATAAACAAGCAAGCTGTTTTTTTTTTTTTTCAAACTAACATCTAATTTGAAGACAAAGTAAACAGATTTTCCAACAATATGAATTTGGGCTCAGGATTTAATCCACACACTTTTCTGTCAAAATAAGGTTTAAAATAACTAACCAGGAAGGGTGTCCCTAAAGATCCCATAAAATGACCAGGAAGGATTTACTGGGCCAATTCCATCTTGGTCCCTCAGCCCTTGTATGGAAGCTGAGAGGTTAACAAAAAAATGTTTTGGTCACAGCACTCTCGCAATGCAAGCATTGTCCCCTTGCAGACCCTTTAAATGATTGGAGCTCTGCTATTGGCTGGCCCTTCACCCGATGTGTGAGGGGTTAGACTAAAAAAGAGATTCACTTAGTTTGTTTGCTCTGGTATTCTGTTAATCTACTGTTGTTGCCGACAACGTATCTTTCAAATTCTATCCATATTCATGATACTTTAGTTTTAGCTACAGCTTCCATCTATCTGCTCCCAAGTAACATTTCATGAAGTCTAACTACCCCATTTTGATGACCAGGTATTTGCCCAAAGAGGTGGTTTTATCAGAGTTTATACAAATGTTTAAACAGCAATTGGATGAATACTTGCAAAAATCACAATATTCCAGGATAACTTTTTTTCATTCGTGGGGTAATCGCTTCTTGATCCAAGGACAGATCTGACTGCCATTCTGGAGTCAAGAAGGAATTTGTTTCCTCTAGTTTGTTGCAAAATTGGAAGCGCTTCAAGCCTTTTTTTTATTTTATTTTTTATCAACCGCAAAAAACCGATGGGAGAAAGGCTGAACTTGATGGATGCCTGTCTCTTTTCAGGCTAGGCAACTATGTACAAATTGAACACACACCATCTGAGTGTCTGCTTTGCCACTGAACGATCTCCGATATGGTTAATGTTGCAAGTTTAGGACTTTCATAATGCTTGCAAAGTTTTTTTTTTGTTTGTTTGTTTTTTTTCTCAATTAGCGATGTAAACTTTATAAAACGTGTAGGTGACCAGCCAACCCATAACAGCAGTGTAGTGATAGTTTGCATCTATACGTTAATTGCACAGAGCTATAAGCAAACCTCTTTTACAACAAAATGTAGTCTATATATGTGCTTGCATTTATAGCTTGCTCAATCTGCAGGAGAAACACTATAAGCACAACAGCAGAGGGGGCAGTCTATGGGTGATGAGGGGGAGCCCCGGTTTACATCAAATTGCTCTGTAGCAGAAAACGCGAGGACTGTACCCATATGCTAATTGCACCATAACCACCACAGTGAACTGTAGGGGATATGGTGCTTTTAGTGTCCTTTTTATGTGCGGCTGTCTCATGTTTTCCTTAGTCTTTTTCCAAATTCCTTTGTAGTAATGTTGCATTCTGCACTACTGTATTACTGTGCATCACTTTTTTATTTGCAAACCTTAAGATTCTGTTTTCAGCAACTTTTCAAGGTCCTTCATAAGCAAAGAATATGCAGAAGGACACAATCTTTCCTTAGCATTGTCTACATACAACTTGTGTCCAACTTTCAAATGTTTCATTTTGTGTTTTATAATTCGTTCTAGTCCAGTAGTAATGGCTTTTCTTAGACCTCTGCCCATAACTTATTTTGGGGAAAGCATTTAAGCCCATTTGGATCGGATTCAATGATTCGCACAATATAAATATGACTCCTAAAATAAACCTATAATATATTGTAACTGTATGTACAGTGAGTATGTTGTGAATAAACCATTATTTATTCACTAAAGTTCGAATTTTGGGGAATACAAAGTGCATTCAGAGTAAATATTAATGGACCACTAAAGTCACCCAGTTCACTTCATCTCAATAAAGTGGTCTGGGTGCAGTGGACCTTGGTTTTATCCCTGCATTCTAAAACATTGGCAATATGTAAATGTTAATGATTGCAGGGTTGAACACACCTCTGGTTGCAGTTGTCAAGACTGCCACTAGAGGCGCTTCTGCTGAATAACCCAGTCAAATTGGTTATTCTGTCAAATGCTGCTCATAGAGATTTATTTGATTGCTGTGTATGTATATTAGCCTCTGGATAATGTCCTGTTGGGCAACATTAGATTGGGGAACATCAAGATCATTCATCGTGATGATCTCTGCCAGTGAGACTGGGTGACCAAGGCGAGACATGCGTTGTTGATGAGAAAAGGAAACTCAACCTTTACCGTGGGTGAGAGGGGCTTTGGGGTTGCAGATGACGAAATAGTTAGGGTAATACTATAGTGTTCCTTTAAAGGGACACGGTAGGCACTGTATCTGCTTCATCTCATTAAACTGGTTATAGTGTCTGGAGTCCTCTGGTACCATCATTTCTTTCAGCATTAAACAGTTTTTAAAGTTTTAATGTTTTAATGCTAAACAAGTGTCATAGGCAATCCATCCCCTCTGTGCTGCTTTGGCTAATAAGGAAATATTAGCCTGAGCAGCAATGGGCAGCTGTGATTGGCTGAGAGTGTCAGCTGACTGCTTTTAGCCTGTCAGAGTTCCAACTGACGATATGAATGGGTATAACAATAAGGAAGTGTGTAATCTCTGCCTTAACTACACATACTGAAGGGGCCGGACTGTGGGTGGCCAGGGACTCTTATTTTGTGGCATACTGCACAAACTTGGTTCAACACTGAATGGATGGACAATGCCAGGCACTCCAGGCACTATAACCAATTCAAAGAGATGAAATGCTTATAGTGACTACAGTGTCCCTTTGAAGCTAAAAATTTGGAATACAAAGTAGCTGAGAAATTGGAAGAATTCCAGTACGATTTACATTGGTCTTACTTTTGAAATTCACATAGAATTCTCACATTAGTGAATAGCCCAGATAATGGCCTAATTTAAACTGATTCTTAATGGAATCGTCTACATTCACTGGATGGATGTCTGTGACTTGTTCTTCCATGAAAGCATATTCATGATAAGTTGGAGAGGCACATTAATGATGTCACATCGGAAGTATCTTTGCAGGTTAGACTGTTACATATAGATCGTATGACATGCATTAAATGAGTTATGAAACTGCATTTACATCTGTGCATTTAATACAATGTTTTTTTATTTTTTATTTACCAAACCAGGAATTATGTATGGCAGGCTATCAAACTAATTGCATTTTTAGCCCAAAATAGCCACGCTGGAGAATTTGTTATATTGTCCCAATTTTCCTCTTCATTTTTTGTCCAGCGTCCAGGGATGCTCCCAGGAGGTAGGATGCCAATGCCAGGAATGCCAGTGGGATCCCCCATGCTAAATACATATGGTCCAGGGTCTCCCCTCAGGCCTGGGATGAACCCCATGTTGATGGAGCCTTTCAGGAAGAGACTTCTTGGCCCACATGGACATCCGCCTGGAGCCGGACAGAGGAGGGGGTATGTGTCACTACCAACACATAAAGAGACAAAAAACAATACTGAAGGTTACCTGTTTATTTGTGTGTGTGTGTGTGTATATATAATATAATATATATATATATATATATAAACATACACACACATGTCCCAGGTCCCAGCACTCAATGCTCCCGGTCTTTTAATGCTCTGGTGCTGTCTCCAGCCAAATTGTATACGATACCAGTAGAGAGCACTCAGGAGTCTTTCAAGGTGAATTTCATCTGTTGATCTATTGAGCAATTACAAATTCACACAACGTTCCAGTCGACGTTTCCATCTGTAAAAGACTTTTTTCATGACAATTGTGTATGTGAGATGGATAATGTAACAACGGATCAGAGTGTTACACATAGGGTTAACTTCAATTTATTACGTAATTCAAACATGTTTACATCATTAATGACATCACTCTGATCCGTTGTTACATTTCACCTGTTCACCTCCAAATAGGATCACTGCATTTTTTGTATATAAGGTATCCATATCACATAAACAATTGTCTTGGAAAAAAGTATTTTACAGACTGGAACGTTGTGTGAATTTGTAATTGCTCAATAAAGCAACAGATGAAATTTACCTTGGAAGACTCCTCAATGCTCTCTACTGGTATTGTGTGTGTGTGTGTGTGTGTGTGTATATGTATATGTGTGTATATATGTATATGTGTGTATATATATATATATATATATATATAGATATATAGATATATATAGATATGTATATTACAATGTTAAACAAAAATCTACACACCAGTCAACCCATAAAACTTGCTTTTCCCACAGAAATCACAAATTTGCAGTGATGTTACTACCGCAAAGGATTCTGGGTGGTCATATGCAAATTTAGTTTAACAAAGAATCACATTTTTTTTGCCTCATTCCATTTTAAAGGAACACTATAGTCACCTAAATTACTTTAGCTAAATAAAGAAGTTTTAGTGTATAGATCATTCCCCTGCAATTTCACTGCTCAATTCACTGTCATTTAGGAGTTAAATCACTTTGTTTCTGTTTATGCAGCCCTAGCCACACCTCCCCTGGCTATGATTGACAGAGCCTGCATGAAAAAAAAACTGGTTTCACTTTCAAACAGATGTAATTTACCTTAAATAATTGTATCTCAATCTCTAAATTGAACTTTAATCACATACAGGAGGCTCTTGCAGGGTCTAGCAAGCTATTAACATAACAGGGGATAAGAAAATCTTAAATAAACAGAACTTGCAATAAAGAAAGCCTAAATAGGGCTCTCTATACAGGAAGTGTTTATGGAAGGCTGTGCAAGTCACATGCAGGGAGGTGTGACTAGGGTTCATAAACAAAGGGATTTAACTCCTAAATGGCAGAGGATTGAGCAGTGAGGCTGCAGGGGCATGTTCTATACACCAAAACTGCTTCATTAAGCTAAAGGTGTTCAGGTGACTATAGTGTCCCTTTAAACATGGATTCCTTTGAGTCTGTGTTTGCTGTATACAACAGCTTTGAAACAACTTATATTTTTATTATTCTTATTATTGTAATAAGTTGTACTCTGTAAGTTTGTGCCACTCCTTCCCAACCTGTAAAGTTATTTGCTAAAGTGTGAATTAGCTAGAACTGAATTTCAAGATTTTTGAGCCAAAATAGCTAAATTATATTTGATGCAGAAAAGTATTGACACTTATCCTAATACACAGAGATGAATGGAGTGATAACGATGCTTCAGTACGTACTGACAGATGTCCTAATATAGAGAGGTGGGATGGGTGACGGGGGGAAAAAAAATAAAGTATTTCTAACACCCCTGTAGTGAGTGTATGTTTTTAATTTGTGTCCTGTTCCGGTCTTGCAGAGTGAAGAGAAGAAAGATGGCTGATAAAATTCTGCCACAAAGGGTAGGTTACCTGCCACTGTTTTTCTTAAATCACACGGCAGCTTTGAACTCCGTGTAATTACCAGTGACTTTTAGGTCTCAATCCTCTCAACCCATATCAGTCCTGTGTCCTAGGAAAGGGGGAGGCTGGAAGACAAAGGCACACATGGGGTTATTTATAATTCCCTTTGCTCTCCATATGGATAGCCAACCTTTCTTGTTCTTTTTCTGATCTTTAATTTTGATCTCCCTCTTTGGGCATGCTCATACTAATTGTGCTGAGCATGATTCAACTGCCAGAGTTTCCTGTCATTTTATTTCTTTTATTACTGCCATTTATTCAGCACAAACCTATTTTGCAGCCACGTACAATTGAGGGGAGTGGGAACATACAATATACACACACCGATACAAAAAGGTAAAGAAGTCCCTGTCTGTGAGCTAAGATCTGGCCATCTGAAGCTTTTATATAAAGTGCCTAGTTGGATAACCCATGAACTAACAATCTATAGGAGAGTGTGTATGTTAGACTAAAGGTGGATTTTAGGAGCTGCAGTTCTTTATCAGTTAGAAATCTTTCCATTGTCACAGAACTGACCTGACAAAAATAGACCAGCTCCCGTAGGAAGTACCACTGTGAACTGACTGGTAAGAAAGGTTCTACATTGTCAAATCAAACATTTACCTAGACCGTGGTAGCCAACAGATACCACTCCCACTGTTTTTAGTACATCCCCGATGATGCTTGATGATACAGGCTGTCTTAGTTGCTGTGCTACAAAGCATCATGGGAGTTGTAGTTCCAGGAAGGGGATCTGTGTGCTGCCCTGATTTAAATGGGAGCTATCAATTGTGAGAGTAAGTCTGTTATAATTATGGTTTTGTCCGTAAGGGGGGTCTGATATTTATCACACACTGTCCATCCAAGCCATAACACACTATTTAATGTGTCTTTTTTTCCTCATTCTCCAGATCAGGGAGCTGGTTCCAGAGTCTCAGGCCTACATGGACCTCTTGGCATTCGAACGAAAATTAGATCAGACGATCGCAAGAAAGAGGATGGAAATTCAGGATGCTATCAAGAAGCCGCTCACAGTAAGAATGATGACATTGAATGAGAGGATGAACAAATTACAGCTTAAAGGGACACAACTTTAATGCATTTGATAGATTTTGGCCTCATTAATATATTGCATTTGTATTTGCATGCTCAAATCGTTATAGTCTTTGCACAAAATCAACAAATGTTTTGCATAATGCTGCACCATAAACCTACCTTTGATGAGGAAGTCTTTTTCTGGTTTTATTGGGCGTGGCTAAAAAGGGCAGGCTTGTGGTGCAGTGTTCCGCAAAACATTTATTTATCTTCATGCAGAAACTAAAAAGATTTGAGCATGCAAATAAATACAGCATATCCGTGAGGCCAAAACCTATCAAATGCAATAAAGTAGTATTGGTGCCCGGAGTGTCCCTTTAATTAAACACCCAAACTAGAATGCCATAAATAATCAAAAGCAATGTTCAGAACTGCTCCACTTTGCCCGCAAGGCAAAAATAGTAGCCAAAAAATTAGGAGGAAAAAAAATAAATCATGTGTTTCATCGGTTTATGGGATGTAAAGAAATTCTTGTCTACCTGATAACTGCTGGTTCCCTTAGTCTTATTTTATGAAAGTGCTGATTTCAAAAGAAACCAAACCTTTTTATAAAAGTCCTAGTTGCACTCTCAGCTCCCAGCATGCGGGTCACCCGTCCTAGGAGAAGCATTGTATTGGTGCATGCGCATTAGGTCCCCAAAGCTTTTCTGTTAAGGGGAAGCATCTAAATCTAAAACGGAAAATTTTATTTTTAACATTAGAATGTCTCTTTAGCCAAAGATAGCCTGCACAAGTTTTCTCGTTATACACTTTTTCCTCTTTCATATCTTAATATGGTGATTTAATTAATAGGCCTCCTACATAACCCCATGATTATTTAAAACAAACAGTGTTCAAGCCTTGACTAATCCTGAGACTGCAGAATATGAATCCAAAACTGTTGGATGCATGTGTACATGACTGTGATATTTATAACTGCTCCTTGATGTGTTCAGACATGACATTATAAAAATGACAATTTGTGTAGAACTTGATGCTTTTATTTGTATCTGGCACTAACAGGAAAAGACAGGGAGTGACCAGAACATTTAGCATCCGAGTTTGAGGGACAGAAGATCTCTATCGGGTACTAGAATATGATTTCTGGGGGAGAGGTGGGGTGGTTATTATTCTTGGAAAGCTTTCAATGACATTTGTGTTGTAAGGAGTGGATACTGTTTTTTATTATTTTTATTTTACCACTATACTAGCAGTGTACTAGAACAAAGCTAAAGTTATTGGGGTATAATGAGGTCCTTCCAGAGTGAGACTGAGCTCTTGGTAAAGATGATTATAGACCAAGAAATGACCTATCCCAGGAACCAGGCAGATTAGATTCCAAACATATTATTACTACTACTTCCTATTTTATATAGAATATATAGATTATACGTGTATCCTTGCATTAGAAAAATTGCAACAACCTCTGCTCCAGAATTCTGCAAATGTGCCAACACTTTTTTTTTGTTAGACTTGAGGGTTTTTTTTTGTGTTTTTCTTTTTTTCTTTCAGCATTTATTACTTTGTAACTATAACCCGTGACATTGAATTATTCTCCCTTAAACTAGCTAGACAAGAATAATGTAAAATACAAACACACGCAATACAGTTCACAGTAATAAACTTGGAAGGGATAATGACAAATACCATCAGTGACAGATGGAGACAGATGCTGTGAAGAGACAATACATTAGTCCGGTTAACATGAGTAAGCTAGAGGAGACATTGTCTGCGACTGACAAAGGCAGAACGGTCTCGGAGTGGCAATAAGAGAATTGCACAGACCTTTAAGGGCCTATAAGAGAGTAGCATCCAAGTGAACGTGGTTAATGAGGAATAATGGGGAATTAGAACTAGATGGACAGAAACAAAAGATTAGAGTCCAAATTGGTGTATGCATATTCTGTAAAGAGACCGCTTTATCTCCTGAGGGAAAGGGAAGTTAGCCTGAGTTTGAGTAAGTGGTTCGTGGGGGGCGGGGGGCTTTAAATACGATCACCCCTGTCCATTGCCTCTTGTCTCAATAGGGATGCCCTCTAATCTTCTATGTTTTAATTTGTCCATTGTCACCCTGTCTATTTTCCTCCTTTCACTTTATTTTAATCTAGGTATTTTCCTTTTAGTCATACCTACAGCTGTCAGGGCACACCTCAGACCACATCTCATTCATTTAACTATGTGCAACTTTCTCATCTGATTGTTTCTTGTCCGTGCCCATGTGTGTGTTCCTGAGGAGTTCATTTGTTTATTCCCTGGGCTAGTGCTGAATTAAATCCATTTTTACTAATGAGACAGACCGAACCCACTCCGTCTGTGATTCAGAATTGCTAATGGTGTTCTAATGTGACTGTGTCTTTACAGCAAAAACGCAAACTGAGAATTTATATCTCAAACACGTTCACACCTGGAAAACCTGATGGGGACGAGGGAGAGAGAGTGAGCGCGTGGGAGCTGCGGGTTGAAGGGAAGCTACTGGAAGATGTGAGTGAACAACCAATGGTAATGGTTACAGCAAATAAATTCGTGGCTGGTTCTGCTCAATATAGCTTCAGGGTCTTGCTGTGAGGACTGGTTACCCGTTGGGTGATCTTCATTTGGCCGGTGGGAGGTGAAATATTGGCCCTAATGTGACAAAGTTGACTGTATATAGTCATTGTTGTGAGGGGGTTGGTTGTGATGGACACTTTGCTGTCCAGCTAAGCTACTTATGATGGTTTGGTTTTTCACGTTTGGTTGAAATCCTCTTGGCTTTTGGCTGCACTGAATGGCTCTAGAGTCTTACACAATATTTTTTTACATTTCTTAGCCTGGCAAACTAAAGAGAAAGTTCTCATCCTTCTTTAAAAGCCTTGTTATCGAACTTGACAAAGAGTTGTATGGACCGGACAACCATCTGGTGGAGGTGAGACAAAATAATCTTTATTCAAAATCTAACAGAGCTTAAAAGGACACTGTAGGCACCATAAGCGCCAAAGATGTGGTCATGGTTCCTATAATGTCCCTTTTAATAAAATCTAAAAATTCCAACTCCATAGAACCATATTATGATGACAAGCAGTTCATGTCTATGAGACCGAGTAGGGATTAACCTGTATTTCTTTTTAGTGGCATAGAATGGCCACCACTCAGGAAACAGATGGTTTTCAAGTGAAGCGACCTGGAGATGTGAATGTGAAGTGTACCCTACTGCTAATGCTGGATCACCAGGTAAGTGGAGAAGTGTAGTGGCGACAAACCAGAATCTTTGGTGTACTTTGCCAGAGTTATGATTACAAATTGGTTGAATGATGCGGCTAGGCATATACTCTTAAAGGCACACTGTAGTCACCTGAACAACTTTAGCTTAATGAAGCAGTTTTGGTGTAGCAGCCTCACTGCTCAATCATCTGCCATAGGAGTTAAATCCCTTTGTTTATGAACCCTAGTCACACCTCCCTGCATGTGACTTGCACAGCCTTCCATAAACACTTCCTGTAAAGAGAGCCCTATTTAGGCTTTCTTTATTGCAAGTTCTGTTTAATTAAGATTTTCTTATCCCCTGCTATGTTAATAGCTTGCTAGACCCTGCAAGAGCCTCCTGTATGTGATTCAAAAGAAACCAAACCTTTTTATAAAAGTCCTAGTTGCACTCTCTGCTCCCAGTTCAATTTAGAGATTGAGATACAATTATTTAAGGTAAATTACATCTGTTTGAAAGTGAAACCAGTTTTATTTTCATGCAGGCTCAGTCAATCATAGCCAGGGGAGGTGTGGCTAGGGCTGCATAGAGAGAAACAAATTGATTTAACTCCTAAATGACCGTGAATTGAGCAGTGAAATTGCAGGGGAATGATCTATACACTAAAACTGCTTTATTTAGCTAAAGTAATTTAGCTGACTAGTGTCCCTTTAATGTGGCTCTGTAGGCCTGAGAAAACAGATATTGTCCTGAGTACCTCTCTAAAGGGGATAGCTTTATGGAGGAAAGCATTCTTTAAATAGGCTGCTGAATTCTAAAAACTGAAAATAAAATATTTTTAAAGTAGCAATTATTCTACAGTTCTAAGCTGGATGCAGGTTAAGTTGTGATTATACAAAGCTCACTAGAAAAGGACAGACCATTGTGATAGTCTGCTCAGGCAGGTAGTTAGGGTTCATCTGTTGGGTATCTATGTCTGAGTAAATAGGTTGCGCAAACACTCCACTGTTGTGTGTAATGGAGGATTTTTTTTTTTTTTTCATTCTTTACAAACCTACCTTTTTGTTTTTGTTTTTAAAGCCTTCCCAGTACAAGTTGGACCCCCGTCTAGCACGTCTTCTAGGTATTACCACTCAGACTCGTGCCAACATAATGCAGGCTCTGTGGCTGTACATCAAGACCAACAAACTGCAGGACAGCCATGAGAAGGAACATATTAACTGCAACCGCTACTTCAGACAGGTAGGATAGGCATGGAATCTTCAGTGGATCTTTCTACATAGTGTCATCTCAGACTTGCCTCCATTACGTAGGCCCTTTTTACCATCAACCTCTCATTATCAGTTGTACTACTTTCTAAATTGCTGAACCTCCAATGACTCGTCCAGTAACACATGACCTGTCGCACACCGATCTCTTTTAGAGGTGACTCTTTCTCCTATATTCCTCCTTCACTTGTTTATAAATATTATCCCCATTAACCTCTGCTTCCTTTCACAGATCTTTAACTGCGTCCGCATGAGATTTTCAGACATTCCCATGAAGCTAGCAAGCCTCTTGCAACATCCGGATCCCATAATAATCAATCACACCATCAGGTGAGTCTGATATAGGCAGAATTTTATTTTTTTCCCACTCTTGTGCTCTAGGCTTAGATTAATGCTTGTTATAATAAGGACAGTATATCTGAGCCACGTAAACTGCTTGAATCCATCACTATAGGTTCCTTTTTATCTTCTCCTAGCGTGGATCCTAATGACCAGAAGAAGACAGCTTGCTATGACATTGATGTTGAAGTTGACGACCCCTTGAAAGCACAGATGAGCAGCTTTCTTGCATCTACGACCAACCAACAGGAAATCGCCAACCTGGATTCCAAGGTTCGAGCCAGCTCTTGCTTCCTGCAACCCAAAATCAGGAATCAGACCCTTAGACCATCTGATCATCTATGTTTAATTAACCAGCAATGAGGGACCCTGAAATGTGACTTGCATACAATTCAGCCTGGTTTCATACTTTCAAAGCACATTTGCCTTATTTTAAAGAGTGAGCTGCTTTTTGCAGTGTTCTTTGTGTAGCAGCTTTGACAACACTCAATTTTGATTAAGATAAAAAAGACATATATAGAAGTTTCAGGCTTGCACAGTAACAGTAAAAAGCATGTAGTTCACTGTACATAAACATTTTCAGACTGTCCTACCACTGCATTACTCTGCATTCTCCATAACCTTCAACTGAATCTATGCTAGTAGAATGAAGTACAAAGATTATCAAGGGGCAAGTTGTAAAAATCACTGGATTGTGTCTACCTCTTGTTACATTATTGCATTGCGTTATCCAAGGTTATTAGACGTGTGTCAGTTATTGTCTTCTGCATCAATGAAATGTGATTTAACTCGCTGCACTGCTTTTTCAGATCCACGAGACCATTGAATCTATCAACCAGCTAAAAACACAGAGGGATTTTATGCTGAGCTTTAGTAACGGCCCCCAGGAGTTCATCCAAGACTGGATGAAATCTCAGAGTAGGGACCTAAAGGTGAGCTGTGTTTTGATATGTTATCACGATTGTCATATATTACGGACACAGCATGGAAAGATATGATCCAAGCGTTTCAACATAGATTTTGCAACATTATCAGCCAATGGCTTCAGCCACCCATCGGGACGAGGCTGTCCAAACTCTGCCCTTCAACTATTGATAAACTACAATTCCCATAGTCTTTTAGGCCTGGTAGTGAATTTGGGGATTTTTTTTAGATCAAAGTGCTGTTATAGGACACCGTGTGTCTTAAGCTATTAATTGAAATTTGTAATTCCACAGCAATGAAAACGACTTGTTTTCTGATATCTTCTCTGTCACGTGCTGACCCTTTGAAATGCCTACACTGCATTACAATGCTGCATTGCACAGTATTCAGGAGATCCTGTCCACTGCTTTGTTTCTTCTTCTGCTGCCTCCTTGTGGACAGTTTGTAGAGTGACAGCTTACTAAGCCTATCCTGGACACTCTGAAGCCAGTGCTAGTGAATTCTGGTGGCACACAAGTAGATTACAGTACGGTATAAATGTAATCTGTTTTTCAGATCATGACCGATATGATGGGAAACCCAGAGGAAGAAAGACGCTCTGAATTTTATGAACAGCCGTGGGCTCAGGAGGCAGTGGGGAGACACATCTTCTTTAAGGTAGGGCTTTTCCTAGTGATTTCATAGAGAGAGAGAGATTACAAAGTCAATTATGATCTCTATATTAATATATATTTATATTTCTAAGGTTTTTGCTTTTTGTTTCCTTTTAAATACAGTGGCTTTATATTAGTTATAAGTGATCTAAATGCTAAGAAGACCGGTGTAAAATTGACATTAACCTGGAAATGTATTTAGATTGCATGCCAGTGCTAATCAAATTAACACTATATATCAAACACAACTTATACATTTTAAAGCGGTTGTCCTAAATAATTAGCTGTAATTGTGTATGACCGATTTTTTTTTTTTTATAGTTTTTGCAAAATTAAATATTTTTTTTGCAGTATATTTAAAGTAAGCTCTGCCTCCTCTGACCCAACTCCCTTATTCTGGGTAACTTCCTGTACCTGTGTCCGCATCCTTTTTGGTCCTTCCCTTCTAACCAGCAGTGTCTCATAAAGAGTTCTAAAAGAAGCACAGCAATGCTTTCTGGTTGTTGTAGTTCATAGGTCGAAAGCTGCTCTCCTGATTGGTCATGCGCATTACAGGGTTCTAATATTCTAATGAGAATTGATTATCTCATATGGATAGAAAGAAGTGTGAAAATTATAATTTTACATATTGAATGCTTGTTTCTTTTATTTTAGGTGCAGCAACGCAGACAAGAATTAGAGCAAGTTTTAGGGATCAGACTCACCTAATTACAGTCCTGAAACACCAGCTGTTAATCCCCAGAGCTCTTATTCTCTGTATTTTTATAGATGTTATGGAAACAGCTGTGTCAGTTATTGGTACGATGTCCAAACTATTTCTTACTTTTAATTAACCACTGCCCTGATGCATCACTAGTTTGAAATGTGTTGAGATGGTAAATATCTCACTCCTATTATATAGAAGTTAATATTTCCACCAATTCACTATTGCAAACCGAAAACATGATCTTGAGACTTGGAGTAGAACAAAGCAGATACCTAGGAATGGAGAATGCAATACTATCAAAACTCAGGTTTATTCTGGCAGCAGTACTTTAGCGGTGAATTCACTGAAGACTCGCAAAGTTTAGTTATAAAATAAGAATTTGAGGTTTTGTTGTTTTTGTTTTGTTTTTAAGCACCATAACTCACTGTTTGTGAATAATATATTTATTAGCACTGAAATAATTGACAGTGGAGTCCATTACTACAAGGTTTTTCACAAAAGTGAGAATTGTCATTAACGAACAGTAACGGCAACGTGACTTTCAAATTTTAGACCAAAAAAAAGCTGAGCTGGAAAACTTTCTTGGAAGTGATTTTTATTTTGGCTATTTTTGGCCTTAAATTTGAAATTCATTTTGTTCTCACTTGAGTAAATATCCCTGAGAGTAGCGAGTAGGCTTTTCTACTGACAAATAATTTCAATTCTTCATTGTTAATAAAATATTAAATGATCAGGTGATGGCTGACTGTGTGCGTCCCCTAGCATTAGGAGGATGTGGGAGCAGACATCCAGCACCATTCTTCTACTGATTAAAACCAGCAGGATGTACATTGGGATGTCTGCAAAGTATTGCAGAACTGACATGACGTACATAGCAGGAAGCATTCTGGGCTTTACTAGCCCAGCACTGTTTGATTTGTGCTTTGGTTGGTGGCCTGAAATTTCACTGCCCTCCAGTACCGGTCTGGCCTTCGGTGACATTTCTCAGAAGACTGCAATATTTGGGGCCGGCGTGGATACTGGATGGAGGTATTTGCAAGTGGTTCTAGGGTGAGATGGGGCGTTTGTGACACATTCGGGCTGTCAGTGGGGCAAATAGGCATAGTCTCAATGAAGTGATCTGGGTGCATTGGTGTTGTCCTTTTTAATCCTGCAGCATTAAATCCACCACTAGTGACTGCCTTCCTAACAGAGTCTAGAGGTACTTTTGCGGTGCTGACAGAGTAAAACTGTCAGGTGACACAGAAGCCCACAGGAAATCGTTGAATACAATGCGTTCCTATGAGGCTGTGCATGCGCATCGAGTCCCAAATGCACCTCTGACGTTGTGGCAGACTGAGAGGTGAGCAGCACCAAGAGAAAAGGTAAAATTTAAAAAAAAAAAAGCTTTAATTTGAAAGGGGACAGAGACCACTAAACACCAGGCCCCTATAGGGTTCTGAATACAGGTTTGTATTCCGAACGCTATACTGTTCCTTTAATGTCTGCTCAAAGCCACCCATTAAATGACTGTAGGATTACATAAAAGGACCAGGGATTGGCTAAATTTTTTTAGCCAGTTCCTGGATCAAATTGCTTGTCATAGCTTCAAAAGACGTTCAACCGCAATAATGCATTTAAAAGGTCAGTGTAGGCAGGGAGTGTTTTATGTAACACATGTTTGCACTGATTACTAAAACTTTCCACATCTTTATTTTATTTGCTTTTAACTCAGGAAACTCTCTGCAGCAATTCTGTCCTCAAACTTGCACCTCCAGCTGTCATACAACTTCTATCATACTAATCTCAGACCCTTTAATCGCTGTATGAGGTGGCACTTCCTTTGCATCGGACAGGCTGAAAACGTGAGTGCTGCTTTACAGCACCTAGTCATGGGTAATGCAATAAAATAGTCTGTGGATGATCCAGTCTCATAACATTTAATATCTTAACATATATCAAACTCTGATGCAAGTACTAATCATAAGTGTTTTTTGTATTTTATTTTATTTTTTCCAGTTTATTATATTTGCACTAAATATTCTGAGGTGTGGGGATGCATTATTTTGTTTTTCTGCCGGGGTGGGATTCTTCGCATGCAGGGACATCCTATGATATATATTACACACACCAAGGACTTTGCACTAGTGTTCCGGCAAGTCTCCAGCATTTGGGTACGGAGAACAAACTCTCTTTGCTGGTTCTACTTGTCATCTTTCGCTGTACCAATCTCTCCCACCTCCTCCAGTGATACCCTAACATAGGAGAAAACGCTGTGAACTTTCTTCGCTACATGCAAAAAAAAAAAAAAGCACCACTGCAACTTCGAGCCATGTTGATTATTCTCAGGGGATTAACATTTTATCTATGCAGATACAATATTTGGGACCAAGTGCTCATTTTTTAAGAATTTGTGCATGACTTTTTATTCAGAAGTTAAGACACGAGTGATATTTATACTAATAAAATAATCCGGGGGTAAAGTTGTAGAAAGTAAAGGGGCTTTCATACAAATTGTTGTTGTTTATAAATAACCCCAGTTGTGTTCCTAACAAAGGTTTCTTCAGATGTTTATATGTTTGAGTGTGAGATGTTTGTTTTTATAATAATGCAGGAAATGTGTGTTAGCAAGCAGAACAATGCACATTTATAGTAAATTTGTCACCTGAACTCTTTAGTCATGTTTTACCATTGATGATTATCTTTATAAGTCATGTTACATTAATTGAGGAAACGTGTATGATCACACAGGCTGACTGCAGTTTCCCATGATGCACAGGGAGGAACATGTAGTTAACATACACCTAATATTTTGCCATCACTGTGTTGTGGCTTTTGGCTGCGCACGTTTCCCCATGGAAGTAAAACAGGCTTGTAAAAGGGGCATATTTTAATGCTAATCCCAGCACGCTCCATGATTACGAAAAGTGAGTTGTATCACTTTTTTTTTTTAGCTGTTATACTAACTATATACAACCTCTGCACATAAGATTCCTCATAAAAACCACATGAATATTAATCAAAGGATTTGGTTTTATAAAAGAAAACCACTTAGGTGTTTGGTGTTACACTTAAGTTAGATTTTTTTTAAATGCATTTATAGGTGACACTTTTACTATAAATTCTGTTGGTAACAGGGCTTCCGGTTTCCATTCTAGGACTCTGAACAGAATAGTCTGGTTAAAATTGGAATCCAGCCTCAGAAGCTGGATCTATGACGTGGGTCTGTCATGTACATATGTCGTTATTCAGCAGAGCTCACAAAGCACTTGTCAGACATCTTTGTGGAGGTTTTTTCTTTAATATCCACAATAGAGGGGGGGGGGGAGGAAGAAAAAAAAATTTAAATGTAATATCCCAAAGTCGGCAGAGGAGGTACCAAGATCTTTTCTCTGCAACTCTTCACAGCCTTGTTATTAATTACTGAGCAATTCACTACAATGAAAATTAAACACAACTGATCCTTCAGTGAGCTCTAGTAAATAAAGGCGACATGTCCACTGAGGGAAAATGCGCAAAGTCGCTTAGCCCTTAGTATAACTTAAAATGCAATTTAAGTGGTGTGCTGTTTACAAGTAACGTGCTTTGGGAGCTGGGCTTGAATTATTTCATTTAATAATATTCTTTTGGCTAATTGTTTCTTGTTAAATAAATAAAAGTCAATTTTTAAATGGTTTCTCTTGTTTATTAAACAGACCTCATGGAATTGTTTTCATCAGTATTACAAACACAAACCCCTGGCATAATTTTCTAGAAACTGTAAAACAAAATCCACAATACCCAAACTGCTCACTGTTGCACAAAAACCTGATTTTGGCTCGTGGGGAGTTTAATTGATTCTCTACCCAGCCTGAGACTAAGTATATGGGTTTCTGGCTTCTAGATTAATTTGATATATATTTAAGGACACATGCTGAACGATGTGTGAGATCAGAGTAGAATTCTCTTTGTGCTACCTCCCCCAGTTAAAAAAAGAAAAAGCACCTGCAATGCTTTGCTGTTGATTACAGGTCTCTCTGAGTTCGCAGGGGGTTGGCAACACTTGTAGCAAAGTCAAAATAAGGGGCCTGATACTCAGAACCGAGTTCCTAACATTGATTGGACAAGTTGGCATCAGCTGAGCAGACACCGTCAAACTGAAGATATATTTTGCAATATGACAGTATCCGGTAATTCCCGGCCCTTTTATTTCCAAAGCTTCTTTATAGACATGTTCTTCTCGCTGTCTTTCTGCATCACCTGCGGGTACGTGAAGAAAGAATACAAGGAAAACAGGTCAGGAGCAGCTTCGTTAAACAGAACACTTGCACTTGAATTAAAGATAAGGCATTATTTTATTTACTTTCCTGGTACATAATTAAAGTTACATTTATCCACTAGCAAAACCCCTGTACCTTTCACAAAATATAAAGTTCGCATGCACTGCAGCATTACAAATCGCATCTGGGGTATTTCCTAAACCTCATTAACTCAAGGACAAATTACGAAGGTTTACCCATAAGCTTCCCAACGCCTCATAAACCTGGCACTGCAGTGTTCCCCTTATTGGGATTTTGTGGGAGAAAGTCCATAAAAATCAGCAGTGTCTAAAATAAACTGTCCTAAAACCAGAGTAGAGATAACTCATGGAAACTTGTTTAAAATTTGGATTCATTTTTTTTTATTCATCTTGAAAAACCTCTTACTTGACATGCGTGTTATCATTAAAATGTCTACTACAAAATGCACAAGTAGGAACTGTTTCAGTAACTATGTGTGAGGTTGTGATACTAGACAATGTTATACAGTTATCTGAAAATACCCAAAACCTTCAAAATGCAAACTTTAAATCAGACTCACCTTAGCTACAGCCATCTCAAAATCTTCCTGTGTCACATGTACTCTTCTTTCACGTAAAGCATACATCCCAGCTTCTGTGCACACTCCCTACAAAAAACAAACACAAAAGGGACACTGTAAATGCATAGAAGTCATCTGTCGGCGGTTGATGAATACAAGAACCAGCAAGACCAAGTACTAATGGTGGGTTGAGGTCAAACAAAGTCTTAAGAATGGCAGATAAAACAATGTTTATGGTCTTAGCAGTCACAGTAATAAAACATTTATCTTTGTATCATGGGGATATCTTTAGGTGAACATATAATTTGATAAAACAAATGAGACTTATTTCAAGAATGTATTTCCACTGGGAAATACAAAAATTAGTGGCGTGAAGAACGGCCTAGTTTAGACTAAAAAGATGGTACAGAAGCATGGAGTTAAATTGACAAAGTCAATTCAGCAGAACTATAAGAATTATCTAAATAGGAATGTTGGGGAATGGAGTCCAAACATAGGAATGGGAGACAATTCTGAACATGAGAAAAAATTGGATTCCGGGTGTGCTCACTTGAATTGTAGCACTTTCCACATGTGTTTCCAAAGGATCATGCTCTACAGAAGTATCCATCTGCTGCCTATTAAGGAACAATTAGCAGGATCTTGGCCCGGGCTCAGAACAGGACATTACATTTTGTTTCTGCAACCAGATGTAACAATAGGGGGAAACCACTATTAGCTCCAAAAAGGCTCACCTTCACCTCGGCCCCTGATGCTCCAGGCATCAGTTCCGCAATTTTACGGAGGTTGATACCACGAGTCAAGTTCATCTTTCGGGAGTGAATCTTCAGAATGTCTAGACGTGCCTGTGAAGAGAAGGGAATAGAGAAAAGGCTTGAAATACGGCTGTGTACTCAGACACGTGAGTAAACAAGAACAATAAGCAATGAAAGTCTTTAGAGTTACTGCTAGGCTAAGTTTACATTTTGCAATAAGGATTTGAATGCACTACTATTGTGAGTTTATCGAATAAGGATGTAATTGGAAAAAAAAAGTTTAATTAAGAAGAGAAATTTAAGAAACACTATAAAATTAAATAAAACTTTTATTACATATACTCCCAAAGAGCACATGCATGTAATTCTTTGTGCAGGTTTTCAATGAGGTATATGAAATCTTAGTTTGCAATGTCTGCAGAACTAGTATACTGCAAGCCCTCCTCTTCTTCCCTGGTACAGACTTTCTCGTCTGTGCTGAGAAATGTCCCCTGTGGACTGCGGTTGTACAATCACAAGCTTCTCAGTCAGAAATACTGCAGCTAACTGAATAGCCTCACTCTGCGCAAGAGCCTGTTTCTTGCATTAAGCAACACAAGCTAACCTACAAAGAAGCAACACCCCCTGGTTGTCTGACAGCCAAGAATGTGTATCACGGTTTAATTATAAAAGTGTTAATTTCTAATTTAAAATAAAAATAAAAAAATCAGCAAAGAGCAGCACTTTGTATAAAATGGTAGGGGGCAAGGCACTCTTCATACATAAAGCACTTAAGAAAGCTAAAGTGATTTAAATGTTTGAAGTGTCCCTTTAATTAGCATTTATGAAAATAGTATTCAGTCCCTGTCCAGCATTACCTCTTCATTAGGAGGAGGGAACTCAATCTTCCTGTCGATACGGCCAGGGCGAAGTAGGGCAGAGTCCAAAATATCAATTCTGTTAGTTGCCATAATGACCTGAAAAATCAGATACAACAGTTTTAATACCAAGAAACAGTGTGTAGCTAAATAATATTGTCTGATGATACACATCCATATAGATTTACAAATTTGCTCATACCTTGATATTCTTAGTGGCTTCGAATCCATCAAGCTGGTTCAGCAACTCAAGCATTGTCCGCTGGACCTCACTGTCCCCTCCTGAACCTCCCTCCAGCCTGGAGGATCCAATGGAATCAATCTCATCCATAAAGATAATGGACGGAGCATGTTCACGAGCCATTACAAAGAGTTCCCGCACCATTCGGGCCCCTAGAGGAGATCACTGTGAATTACATATCCATACACACAGGGACGCATTCATAATAAACAAAACTAAAAACACAATAATAACTAAGAAAACTAGAGTTACAAATTTGTGTGTAGCACAGTGCCGATATAAAAGTCACTGTGAGCTGAATCACATTCATTTTATAGAGTATAAACACCATTGGCGTAGGACTGAAATAATGGGTTAGAAGATTTAAAAAAAAATAATGGTGTTTCAATATGAAATCAAATTGGATGTTCGTCTTGGTAAATGTTATACGCTAAATTAAAAATCTTCATGCCAGGGCAAACTACGGGTTGGGTGTAGGGCTCCTGTCCATTCCATGCTACCAAAAGATCTGAGGAAATAGTCGCTGGTTTAGACATGTCTGGTTTGACTACAGTTCTTTCCAGCTACGCCACTATCACGCAGGATGGCAGATAACCAGACAGAAATATTGAAATCACGACATATCCACATAAATACATCTGTTGTCATTTCGACATTTATTTAATAAACCCGATGTATGACACTGGATGGTTGGTAATTTTCTTCTGCCTAATAATCCGGAGCATAATGATTCCATGCCTGTGCTTGTATGTGTATATACATGGACTCTGAAACCTTTTTTACCATCACCAGTGACACGTGCATTATGTATTGATAGACATAACACAAAGCTGTATTTCACACCTACCTTCCCCGATGAATTTCTGTACAAGTTCAGAGCCAGACACCCTTATAAACGTGCAATCTGTATGATGAGCGACAGCACGGGCCAAGAGAGTCTTCCCAGTGCCAGGAGGTCCGTACAGCAGCACTCCCTAAGGAAATTAATAATGAGAGCTGTATCTTTGTATGAAGACATGGCAGCATGATACTTTTAGAACAAAGAGCCTAAATAGGTCCTTTCAGTGAGATAATCTCTAACATTACAGTGAGACCACATTTTGCTAACCGTAATGTGAGATTCAGACATAAAAACAAATCTGTTAAATTAAATTTAAATATGAAAGGGGATCTGTCACATCCCAAACAACTTATGGTCATTAGATTGAGCCTAAAATTCTATCTACACATTGTACAAGCAAATGTAAAGATTAGGAAAAAAAATATATACTATTTAAAAATAGGCATTTCTCCCAGCTGTTAGCCAATGGCTTGGCGTGCCGAGGCAGTCACTGACAAGGGAGAGCAAAAAAGACCTCTCCCAAGCATAGCAACCACATCTAGCACCAGCTACGGAGTATAGGAACAGGGTTATGGGAGGTCAATCCGTTAAGGCGCGGGCACGCTGACAATGAAGCCAGAGTCCGGTGTCACTAAGGATTGCCCTGCTTAGGGGGAAGTGTTTTCCAGCAAGGCAAATCACTGAAGACCAGAGACAGAGCGGTGGACAGCCTGAGGGTGGATCTTACATGAAGAGTAAAACTCACAAAGATGCACTGGAACAGAGGAAACGTGAATAATTCTCTATATTTTAGACTGAATGCACCATGTGTCTTTGTGATGTATATTATGACAACAGGTTCATTTTAATACAAAATCCACTGGCTCATTCATTCCGATTGGCAAGTGTATAAGGGAGACCAGAGCCTCGTTCATTTTCTCACCGTACCTTGGGCTGTGCAATTCCCAAAGCCTCAAACAATTCGGGGTGCTTGACAGGCAGCTCGATGACCTCCTTAATCTCTTTTATCTGCTTGTCTAATCCTCCAATCATCTCATATGTGGAATCTGGAACTTTTTCTACCATCATCAGTGATACCAGTGGATCCACCTTGTTGGGCAGGATCTTGTGCAGTGTGTAACTGTCATTACGCAATGCAACACGACAATTTGGTGTCACCTGAAAGGGAGAGATGGTTATTAAATGGACAAAGGCTGAATGAATGTGTACTTGCAAATAAATCTACACACACATATAAAGTAGTTGCCAAATAATCCTGTTCATTCCAGATCCATATAACCCACTTTTGTTAACAGTCATTAACCATCACGTAATTTGCACGATAAATCTGCACCAATTTTAAACATTTATGTTTCCCCATGGGAGCTGACTTGAGTCAATGTATCTGTATTCAGAATGTGGTGAACAAAGCACTAAGAGGGATGAGTTGGAGGAGTTGATAATTGATACCATGATGGCTTAATGCACCATTGTCATTTTCAGTTTCTCGTAAACAGGGAATAATTATTAAAATCTGATATAGACAGTATTGGAACTTCAATGAAACCTCTGTGAGAACAGGCATAAAACAAGATGCCAAGCCTTTACATGTGACAGCTGGTATTTAAGAAAGTTTCTATCTATATACTTACATCATTTATATCGATATTTTTATCAATATCCACAACAAACTTCCCCTCGGGGTGGACCTATAGTGAAAAAGAGATAATTGGTTACACATCCTTATGTAATTGGATCAGTTCTCACGGAACAAACAGAGAAATAGTGATTCCAAGCACCTTGACCAGAACTTTCTTCTTGTCCATGGCTCTCACCACCTCACCCACATAGGAGCCCTGCTCCTGAAGCAGCTGCAGCTCCTCCCGCAAGAGACGCACTAAAGAAAAGATTGGAAACATATAGGTGAGAACCACAATAAGCAAATACATGTAATCAGACATATGAACAAATCAAACGAGGAGGATTCTTTTTAATGTTATTGGGTAAAATGCTGTAAGATTTACTCCTGTGAATGATTTTGGCTATTTTGAAGCCAGTTGTGTTTTTCTTTCATGGAGGATGATGTTAATGGAGCAGTCTGAGCTTCATAACTGCAGTCCCTTGTAGTGGGCATAGTTGCAGAAGTGTATCTGTGTTGTCCTAAGTCGTTGTCCAACTGTTTTAAGTGGTTTGATGAAAATGTGAGTTTCCCTGTAACCAGCCCATCACATTGTAATATGCAAATACAAGAGAGTTATTCCACCTCATTAGCAATATCACTTTGCCCATGTTTAGAGAGCAGTGATAACCTGAGAGTCGGATTCTGGTCTGCCTTACCCTATAAAATCCTTGATCAGCAGAGTTTGTGTGATAAGCTGTGCGATAAGCCAATAGCAATCAGGCCAGCTACCATTTAATTGCACAGTCTGTCTCAGTTTTGTGAACTGTTCTGTGTGTAAAAATAGGCAGAGCCGCCAACTGCACATGTACACAATCTGATATGGACTGCCTGGAAGATACAATTCCAGGTGCCTGATTGACTGCTCTGAGAGGCTGGCTTATAGGGGCAAAGATTTTGCAAATCAGTAACAATCAACTCAGAACTGAAAGTAGGTGCAGGGTATTATCTGCACCATGTGCCTTGTTGTGGTGTCTAGAGTGAGTCTTTAAAAAGGCTCACTCTAGCTATATTTATAATTTAACATTTAAATGTTCCTCTTTTAGGTTCATATTATAGTAACTTAATTTGGAGAAAACACTAGAAACCTATGATATTCATGGCAAACAGTGCTCTGCACACTGAAAAACCTTTCACTTCACATCTGGACATGCTTGTAAATTGCAGCTAGAGACCAGTGATGGATAACAGCAGCAAAGGAGATAGTTGCAGACTGCAATTACTACAATGCTCAGCTTGTTTACATAGCAAACATCAGCAGTGCTAAGATTACACCAAATTGCTTGAAACTTTGTCCATGTTTAATTTCTGTGTGTGCACCCACATCCAGATCTAAAATCCAAAAAGTATTAGAGAGACCCTGAGAGTTCTAATCAGGCCGTTTTACTAATGTGGAACAAAAACAAATTTAAAAAAATGAAAATAAGTATTTGGATGAAACACATGTACAACACTACAGTCCACATAATTAGTCTCTAAGCATTAGTCACCAAGCGTGACTCACAAGGGTCCATTCCATTAAATTTGTTTAATAGAATAGTACTTGTTTGTAAGCGGTGTATAAGTAAAGCTCTTTCCCCTAAAACGATGCACTGACAAGCTAATCTTTTAAGTTATATCACTACCAACTTTACCTTTAGCGTTCAGTTCATTTCTTTGAGCCTGGAGACGCCTCAAATTTTGACTTTTATCATTGACAACCAGCTGGAGAGAAAATAAAAAGCAAAGTCAACCTATGCTAGAGAATGTGTAGGTCAAAGAAGACTAAATTGATATTCAAATGTGACAAAAAATGCTTGGCAAGTGAAACGCATCAGATCACGTAATGATATCCTCAATTTCAGATTGAGGTTGGTGTTTGGCACCCCCAAAAAGGCTCAGCATTTTGTCAGGATTTGTATAATGAGAATAGGACCACATGCTCAGCGTCTCCAAATTTGTCTATGGCTGAATGTATGCTAATATATAAAAAAACAAAAGAAGTTACCTGTGCACTACCCCAAAACACTAAGCATATTTAAATAACAGGACTTTAGTGCCACTCAAATGGCTTTTAAAGTGTAAGCTCACCTTACGAGCCAATCACAAGTCAGCAACTCAAGATGCTTGCCTTGACATGGCAGGTGAGAATAAAGTTAATAACGTTTTGGTGCTTAGAATATCCCTTCAAGGGGGCGGAGCCTGGCAGCCGCACGGAACGGTCGCACACACCGAGAGCTCCGCGCTATCTGGCTCCTAAATAATCGATAAAAGTGACTCAGCAACCTAAAACTTAGATCCCTCGATATTGGGAGACATCCCTAGCTCTCAAACCAGTGGTGTGTCCAGCCATGACCGGTGGGTAATCCCAGAGGAGAGTCCGCGGCCTACAAGAGGCCTAACTGCAGCGCACGAGAGGGAGGCGACCGATCCCTCAGCCTGCTATCGAGCACTTACCCTGGAAGACCATCCTGCACCCTCTCCCCACCTCAGCCGGTGGGGGTTATCCCGGCAACTTTCAATGGTGTCTCACTAGTGAAGCTCCTGCTACTATACACTTGGGACTATCCACCTGCCAAGACCAAGATGGTGGATGCCTCGTGCAACTCACTGCCTCATTCTAAGCGACATTCTAAGCTTGACGCCTTATTCGCAAACTTCTGGTCCACATTAGCCGCACGCCGGCACAAGCCTGCTGGAGCCCAGCAAGAAACAATCATGCCGCTCACAAAAGGGCAGCCCGCGACTCCTGGGCGACGCTCTGGTGCAGAATCGCCACTAAAGAAAAAGAAACCGAGGCCACGTGCACAAACACGGCACCGAAGAATCCGCCTGGCACTGTCCAGCAACCGCCCTGAATCACGATCCCAACTGGGAAAAGTACCTAAATGCAACTTACCACCACAGGAGACCACAACTCTATGGGAATACAAGCAACCCCTTACAGGTCCTTGAACTGCCACTGGTGAGCTGCGGGGTACCTCACACAGGAGCCACAACAGGTCTCCCTCCGGAGGACTTAATAGCCACCTCAGAGCAGTGCCCAGACGGGGAGTAGGGTAAAGAACCCCTGTGTGGGGGACAGCTTGCCTACCAGACACCGACCACCTGCTATATCAGAGGACGACCCAAAAAACATATTAATGCCAGAGTTCTCGAGGATGAGACCCAAGATCCCCTGAGCTTGACTTTCTAACTATTTTAAGCGTTTTTTCTTTTTAGCATGAGCCCTGACATTAACTAACTTACCTACTTGCCCTCATATGTTTTACCGTTAGCAATAATGGGTGTGGGAGCCCCAGTGATAGTCGCTTAGCAGACACTAGCTACACGATTTAAGCTTGTGTAATTTACTTGTATTCTATTATATATCAACCTGTCCTGCACATAGAGAGACATCTCATGCTGGCTAGCCTAGCTTATCTGTAGCAAGCACTCACTCTCTATTAGACCGCAAGCTTGCATCCTGCATGTTTAGAAAAGTCCCTGCCAACATATGTACTGATCGTCTAAACAGGAACACTTAAACGATATATGTTGCTCTATAATAATTGTGCTGTCTTCTCACATGCTGACCAACTGCTAAATGTTTTGTCATATACTTGTCAATGCTGTTGGGGCATGACGAGCCCACTTGTTATATTTCCATGCACTCCAAAAATAAAGAATTAAAAAAAATAAAAAGTATGACCCTTCAATAGAAACTAATGCAAGTGCTCTACTTTGAGAAAATGTGAAGAATTCAAGCATTACCAATTCCACACGTTTCACAGATCTCAGGTGAGCAGTAAATAAAAGGATTGGAGCAAACTGGGTCAAGTTCACAACAGACAGGGTTATTCACTGCAGTTAGAAGTGGCAGGAAAGCTAAGTACATTTTCACATTTAAGGCCAAAATCACCAGAGTGAAAATTCTCCAAGTCCACTTTTTTGACCGTAAATTTGACATTTCGAATTTCTGACAATTCTCATTTTAGCGAATAAGCCTGGTAATGTATTTGTGACCATCCAATAGGAGGATTCCAAGAGTTATCCCCAGAGAATAGTTCACATTGTAAGTCACTACTGAGATAATTGTGTTATTCCACTCTAAGGTTAAAATGTGTCATTTTATTTGTGAGTTTTGTACATATTTTTAATAGTGCCATGCTACTAGCAGGCATTTGTTTTCTTTTTTTTCTGTGACCCTATGATTTAAAAGAAAAAAAAAAGTCACCTAGTCCGTATACATTACCAAGTTTAAGAATGTATGAAAATGTATATAAAACTACAATATTTTATGTATAACTTCTATCACTTGTTTGCACGACATCTGGTATTCTTGTTCCAAATTGAGAATATAATACTCACTATAAATCAGTTCAATTACACATGTATGAACTGTGCTGCTACTAAAGAATATTTAAGTACCTGCAGGTCCTCGATCTTTGACAAATAATACTGCCGCAATCCAGTGCCACTACGAGTTTCATCCATTTCCATCTGTGTAAACAACCATCAGAAAGTCAGGAAATGGACAGAAGTTGAAATATTAAGTTAACAAAACATAAGAGACGAACAGACAGAGAAAGAAGCCACATGTGACAAGACTATAGAGTGACAAATGAGAAAGTAGCTGAATAAATGATGGTCTAACATAAGGTTTATAGGAATATAAATACAAAGATTAAATAAACGCATTATGTCCTTTGTGGGTATTCGGATAAACATGGACCATATAAACAGAATTAGAACTGGAAACAAACTGAAAGAACTGCGGAACAAAATGGTAACAGTGCAGAAGGGACATGTGATCAGCTGTGTGGCAATAACAAAAGTTAATTTTTTTTTGGGGGGGGGGGAAATACGTGAAAAACTAAAAGGGATATATGTTGTGACATATAATAAATATGCATCTTAAAGAGTCATTCTAAGAACCAAAATTAACTCATCTTGACAAACTAATTTTGAGTCACAAATGAATTTGAGAGGAGGTGCTGTTACCAAAAAATAGCACTGTTTACGTTTTGCAATCTTCATGTCTCTAGAGATGTCAATCAGACTGCCGCTAGGAACTATGGACCAAAACAGATTAAGTAATTTAATATTTTTAGGTCTGGCATCAGTATGCAAAGTATTGCGAAACCAGATGCTGTGTGTATCTAGGTGTTCTCTATGAAAACCAGTGCATTCAATGGTTCTAAGTACTAAATTAGGGGATCACGGACAATTGGCACACATGCACTGTATGTACAGAATGTTTCACAATGAGAAACATTTTATTGGACAAAAGTCACAAATCTTGATGATGTCAGTAAGAGAGAATCGTGGTGCATAAAGAATATGTCTCGGCACTGGATTACAACCAAGTTTAACTGCGTTTCTAGTAAGAAGAATAATCTGAAATCTGAGTATTGTGAGGCGATGTGTGATAGTAAATAGGAGAGAGAGGGCGATGTGTGATAGTAAATAGGAGAGAGAGGGCGATGTGTGATAGTAAATAGGAGAGAGAGGGCGATGTGTGATAGTAAATAGGAGAGAGAGGGCGATGTGTGATAGTAAATAGGAGAGAGAGGGCGATGTGTGATAGTAAATAGGAGAGAGAGGGCGATGTGTGATAGTAAATAGGAGAGAGGGGGCGATGTGTGATAGTAAATAGGAGAGAGGGGGCGATGTGTGATAGTAAATAGGAGAGAGAGGGCGATGTGTGATAGTAAATATGTGTGATAGTAAATAGGAGAGAGGGGGCGATGTGTGATAGTAAATAGGAGAGAGAAGGCGATGTGTGATAGTAAATAGGAGAGAGGGGGCGATGTGTGATAGTAAATAGGAGAGAGGGGGCGATGTGTGATAGTAAATAGGAGAGA